CAGAAAGTGCAGAGGATGTTCAGTTTGGAGAAACCCAACATCCAAGAACAACCTGTATGGAACTGATCTAGGCTACCCCAGCACAACCACCAGGCATCCATCCCCTCCATCACATGCAGCCTGTTTTGTTCTACAGCACAGTATTTCTAAGTCCCAAACCCATGTACTTTATATAGTTTAGTTCCTGGTAAAACACCACCCACCCAAAGGCTTGAGGCAATGCAGAACCGGCTGCTTGGGATTTACAGGGTAGAGAACACAGGTTATTTTTGGCATTACCCCTCGGTGGTAGAATGAGAACCATAGGCTAAACTGTAAAAAACATCTTGAAGACGTACATTTGGTGACGAAGGACATATGCTTTTGAGGGGTGGGGGATTATCAGGAAGAACACTTCACAGAAATCCTTTGTCCTCATCCCTGCCATCCCAACTAGCTTGCAGAACTGAAATACATGGTTAAATCCTAGTGCGTCAGGACGAGAACGCCTACAGAAGTCCCACAGCATCCCTCAGTCCAGCCTAAAGCAAACAAGTCAAGGACCTGCCTCAGAGATAATGTGGCCTGGTCCACAAAGGATATTACTTATAATTCAGGTGCCTACCCTTAATTTGTATCCACTCACCAAGGTTCAAAGCACCAATTCTTTGTCCCCCCTTGCACTGCAAAGCTGATATCAAGCCCTCTGGAACGAGGAGAGGATACTGGCAAGAAGCCCTGCAGGTGCCCACCTTTCTCTTGCCCAAGACTGCAAAGACATGAGAGACAAACCCTTCCATTCAAGACTCAGTCCACAAACAAGCTCAGCTTACCAAAACCAGAAGAGCTAGGCTCATACAAGCACAGCTGTAGTACCTGAAGGCACCTCTGTGAGTCCCACTGTGGGTCACTGGCAGGAAAGCTTTCCCAGTAGGAAAGTTTCTTCCTCACAAGATTCTTGTGATTTGGCCCTGCATCCATGATGCAGATGTTCATGGCTGCAAATGGAAGTTAGGCATGTGCAAATGCAGAAACACATAGCTCAGCCTGGTCACTAGCAGTTCAGAAGCAGAAAATGAGATGCATTAAACTTCTTTCTGGTCAATCTTTATTTTACACGTTTGCATCACAGCAGGGAAACCAAGTTACACAGACCGTCCTGATATGTATCTAGCTGGACTTCTCTTCAAATTGTGTTTCTTGTTTAATAAAGCTTAAAAAAATACTGAAAAAAATCCATTTGTACATCTGAACATGAACCGAGGAATAGGATATTTACAGGTCACGGAGACCCCTGGAACTGGAGCTTGCTGGACACAGGGAAGCCTTCTGAAGTTCTTTTGGAGGCCATTTACTAAGTGAATCCAAAGCTACATTGTACAGGGTGCCCTAAAGCTGCTTAATGACACAAAAGGATCTAGAATTAATTATTAATAGTTACTAAAGGGAAAGGGAAGCTATTTAGACCCATACTCTGTTTTGACAGACCAGGTACCAGCCCAATGCTCCAGTATCCTAGCTGCAAGACAAAGTGCTTCTCATAATGTGGAGGTCAGGCTCTACTTTATTACAGAAAGAGAGAAAACTGAGTGAAATCCCACAGGGAAATGTTTATTAAGAGTTGTCCTTTCTACAGTATGGCTGCAGTCAAAACATAAATGGGTTCTTGAGCCAGTCAATCTACAAGGAGTGACTCTTTTCTCAGCCACTTTCTTCCAGTACCATCACTTTACACAGAAATATCTCAGTATTTTTCTTAGGTTCTGTTCCAACCACTTGCAAGTACACATCATGGGCAGTTCTTACAGGATCATTGGTGTATCCAAGTGAGAAACTACAAGAAAGGAAAATACATGGCTTCCCAACATTGCTAAGTAAAAGCGATTCATAAGCCCAAACCAGCATCAGATCCAGCAGCTACAAGGAAAACCAGATTCACCCAATTTAGAACCATGTTTTTGAGCAAAACAACCCCAGGGAAGACAAAGAAACATTTGGTCAAGTGCCTCTGGGCAACACCACCTCAGCATTCAGGAAGCATTCATGGTACTGAAGTTACAAGATCACAGGTTTCAGTGTAAGTGCTGTTATATTTCAAATATCACTGTGCCTCCCATCTACTGCAGACCACAGCTCCATGCTCCTTTTACCAAGGTGAGAAAATGGGAAAACGTTTGATGATTGGAGGTGATAACACAGAATCAATAAAACACATCTGCTTTAAAGGAACAGAAGTCTGCTACCATGACAGGTCAGATGGAAGGTGACAAACAAGGTAGGCTGAAGGGGAAGGCTTCCTTCCCTTCAATACCTTGCTACTACCTGATTATTGTAATAGCTAAGCAACTTCAGTTCTCAGAGCAAAACACACAAATACCCAATATTTGCTTCAAATGCAACCAATTTTCAAACAGACAACCATAAAACTCCCTTTCTTGTCAACTGGATTATCAGTGGCTGCATTTCTCTTCTGTAAGAGGAGCATATGCAAGGAAGAAAACAAAGACAACACAATCTTCAATTGGAATTTCAAATGTGCACACTGAAGTGGTTAGGCTATGCACTTTCATGGCCAGAAGGAATGTTGCAGTGCTGAAGGATACACAGTGGATGCACACTGATGCTACAGAGTCCACTTAGCTTAGCACAATACACCTTCCACATTGCTAGCTCCAAGACAAAATACTGCAATGCAGCAAATTGTTACAACATGCTCCCAGGGTATGCCAGCATGGAAACCCAGGAACAGGGCACTCAGCTGGAGAGGAGCACTGAACAATGAACGGCACAGATCATGACACACTGAGCTAGACGACAACATGAAAGAGCATCTTAATAGGACAGCGTGTGGCTTCTTCAGCTCGAACCGCTCTGTTTTGAGCAAGCAGCAGCAATGTTCCAGATGACCCCATTATGTCTTGCTTTCTGTTAGCACATCTCTTGATGAACCATCAAGGAAAACATTTTCAAGCCTGAAGAATGCAAGAGTCTGGCAGTTGCACTGCGAGGTTTCCTCTGGAAGACAGCTTCTGAACAGTTACAGTGGGAGGGAGGAGTGCATCACTGGTATTTGCATGTCATCATCAAGAGGAATTTACTGGGGCATAATCTGCATTACAACTGAAGATTGAAGCACTCTCATTTTCATCTGCAGAGGGTGTACAGGACTCCACTGCAGCAACATATGTGAATGCATTTAAATCCATTTATTCTGAATTGCATGACACCTGCTTTTCCAGGACTCCTGTCAATCTACCACTGTGTACCTGCAGGTGATCGATTTAGTTGCTCACTTCAGTAAAAGGCAGGAACAGGAAAGTAAGGATCCATCCCAAAACGATTTGTAAGCCACAAGCAGCTCTTCCATTTCCCCTGCCTGTGAAAGACAGATCTTCCTACCAGATAGGCAGCCATCAGCATTTGAAAGGCAAGCACTGTGATTATCCTGCCTGGTGAGCCCTAAGCTGCTGTATTACAGACCACTAATAGAACCATGCACTGGCAAGTTCTGCAGATGTGGGTTCACCTTGAGAGGATGAGGGAGGGAGTATAACCCTCCTTTGATGCTCCGCAGTGCAAACCACACTGTGCTGCAAGAGAAACACAATCGCAGCCATCCTCTCCACCCTCCATTGTCCAATCCATCACACAACCCTGCAAGACAAGTTTTTTGACCTCCTCCAAGGAATTCCATTAGAAAAAGTGGAAATTCACTTTGGAAATGGCTGCAGTAAGGATCTTCTATCACTGTTTCTTGTGTTTTTCTACAGTAATGCTTAGGTCTCACTAGTTACTGGTTAGCATCCTGCATTAAGTGCCAGATGAGGTTGGCTGTACAGCTGACTGCTGAAGCTCAGGTCTGAATTTAAGAAAAGCTCTTCTAAAAAGAACTTTCAAAGTATGGTCATGGCTTTTCACGCCAAGACAAAATGCAACCACCCATTTTTGGTCTTTGACTAGTGAGCCAGGGACTTGGCAGATAAACCTACACCATATGTAACTTGAGGAAAAAAGTGCATATAAAAACCAGGAACCTGAGAGCAAGGTAAAAGCATTTGCCAAATCAGCAGCTCCACTGATGCTGAGGTATGGAACAGGCAGCCGTCTGGAACCAGCTCAGCATGTGCTGGGATGCTGGTGCAGCCACTCATGGTTTGGGGTGAAATGCCACACACCCATCTGAATTCCACACCTCATTTGCAAAAGGTATTAACAGGTTCTAAGGGAGCATCATGTCCAGATTAACACTGTTATTGCACTTCTGTTCCTGACAGCAAATCCTTCTCCTTCACATACTTCAGTGCCAACAGACTTCAGGTCTCCAGTGGACTATGCTGAACAAAGTTTACAGCCTGTTTGAGTAGCCTTTTGGATGAAGACAGTGACATTTCCACTGGGACAGAAGAACATTGCAGAGTGAGAGGATGGGTTTTTCAGGTACAGTATTTAAGCCGTGTGATGAGCTGGGACTGCCTTTGTTTCTTTATAGTCCATTTTCTCACACCTCAGCTCCTTCATATGCAGTTTTCTTCATATAGAAGGTCTAAAATGCTCACAGGTCACCTAACATCTTCCTAGTGGTGTAAGCTCTCTGATTCTGATACTAAAACTGCATCATTGCAAGACAATGGCAGCAACAGTCAAACTTTATCACTGCTGTAATTCCTATGCAGTTACACCTGAGGAGTAAAAAACAACCTAGAAGAGGACTCTGTAACCCAGAAGAGGGCTATTCTTATGCTTTACCTGAAGAGAAACCAGTTCCAGGTATCAAAGCAGGCAGATTCATTTCTACCATTTCCATAGTGCTAATAACAAAAGTAATGGCTAACACTCTAATCAGTTGTGCCCCAGAGATGTAGTCCCTTCAGCCAAAAAAGCAATTCCCAAAGGAGCTTGTAAAAGATGCTGGCACATCCAAAGCTCTGTGATGATACCTCTCCCTGCCACCCTGACAGAAGCACTTTGCTTGACAGCACCATATGTCAAAGTCTCTACATGAATATTAAGGCTTCAGTGGGTCAGTGATTTATACTCGATTTATTTTTCTTAAAGCTTATCCTCATCACATCAGTGAACCACTTCCATCCTCCCCCAGATTTCACAATCATTCACTATGCCTTAATACTCCAGCTATGGGCACCAGCTTGCCTTTCTAACAATACCAGAGTACTACAGATAAAACACACATGGCTTTTGTTGTATAAGAACGCCACTGTAAGTTTGCAGCGAATAGTCAAGACTTCTGTATTCCCCTGCACTGAGGTTCTGGTCCTGATCTACTCTTTTCCTGACAAAAACCATTTAGGACTGGGAGCTGCAGTTGCCTGGCTTTGGTGGCAGTACCATTTTGACTAATTCAGCTCATCTCCAACAGCAGCAGCAGCAATCCTGCACGGCCAGAGAGGTACAAGCAGCCACCCATGTAACTCAGGATAATGGTGAACCGGAGATTTAGGCTGCAGCAGGTTTACTGGACACATTTCCACTGGAGATATTCTGGCACTGGTCCTGCTGTGCCAGAAAGGAGTGTCTTTTGGAATACCTTGAAAATACTTTAGAAAGCAGACCAAAGGGCTCTGGGTCACAGCTTGAAATTACATGTTTAAGATCGCACAGCAGACCCCTACAAAGCAAGCATCAGTCTTACACCTCTTGTGTACTTCTTGTCAGGCGGGTGTGAATCAAGAGCAACTCCATGAACAGTGGAGAGTTTGTGTTAATGCTTATTGCACTATGGGCTAGCATTTTTAATGGAGAACAGTCACTTGTTTCCTATGTAGCAATACATTTGAAAACCTGACACATTCAAGTGGGTACCTGCATGGATAAGACAAGAAAATACTTAACTTTCCCACTGATAATGAGCAGTGGCAGAAGTCATCTGATCCAATACCCTGTTTAGTCTCTCATATAACTGCAGTTGCTTCTATTATTCGTTTTGCAATGCTTTGTCCAAGCCAAAGGGAGAGTTTATAAAAAGAAAAATAAAATACTTACATCTCTTATCTTCTTTTCCCACCTTCTGACACGCTTTGCAATTCCCAGCATACATATTACATAGCAACTGTGTAGGTATATATGTGCATTATATAAAATATATACTTTTACATACACACTAAAGGTCTCTCTTCACATCAGTATTACACATTCTGAAGAACGTGACTGCAAACAATTCGGAACACCCAACCAATCCAGAAAGGGGGAAAAAGAACAAGCTACCCCAAAATCCCTAGGAAAGCTTCACGCTCCTTTGCGGGTACCAAGAGATCCCATTTTCTTATGATCAGAGGAACAGTTCTATTTCTGCACTGCTTTGCTCCCCCCTAGACACACCCCGCTCTGCAGTTTCAGTGTTGGGAAGTGCCAGTTGCTCCCTTTCCACTGAGAGGAATAGTAATAAATTAAAAAAGTTTCTCTGAAAGTGCTGCCTCAGTCCAGTCTGTTCATGCTGTGCTTTCCCATTCGCCCTGGGGCTCTGCTGATCCATTCACCACTTTCTTGACCTTCTTCATGCCCTCCATTACTCCAGAAGTTGTCACCCTGGAAGAGAAAGGAGAAACGTGAGAGAAAGGAACTTGGACTGGCACATCCATTGCACCAATAGCCCATGCTTCCTGTGCGTATCAACTAACACTTCTCATGTGTCTCTTTACCAAGACCTAGCAGTCTTGATGCTTGGCCTCTCCTATTGCTACCATTTTGCAGGCCAAGTATCATCCTGGACATACTACTGATGGACACTGGGAGCAAAACCAAGGTTCTTCCCATCTCTACCGTTAAACTAAACCACCAAATATTTGCTTGTACTTGAAAGAAGATAGCAAGGGTGGTTAAACAGTTAAACCAGGTGTTTACTTACTAAAGATTGAGCAGCTTGCTTAAAAAAATACTTTGCTCTACAGCAGAACACCCTTAATTCTGTGCATTAAAAGACTTCTTTCTGCATTTGCAATACTTTTAATAGGTGCAACATACTATACAACTGCACACACGGTTGGACAATGCCCCAAATGAATCTTATTAGCTTAATGCACACCAATTCCTGGTAACAGCAATAAAACAGAAGAAAACTTTCTACAATCCAAGCCTGGATTTGCCACAGCAATCTGGCCATTGAACTACAAAGCCCCATAATACACTTCAAACATTAGACAGACTGAACTGTTTATCCAGGCAGAACAGCACCACTCTTCTCTTGGAACTACCTTGGCTATCCACAAGCTCTTCAGCCCAGCAGCTTTCTCTGTTGCTATACAAAACAGGCTATTGACATGCAAAGACATTTGCTTTATTCTTTTGCACAGTACTATTCTCATTCCATGCAGGTATTTTTTTTTGCCTACAAAATGTGCTACAAAGGTTATTTGGGATGCTGAAAGTAGAGTGCCAATAGCTCAGCGCATTCACAAGGGATGCCTGGAAGCATACATCAAACTGTCCTGTTCAAAGATGTTGCTGTCAGTCTTTGTGTGCTTTCACCTGCTGTTTATCACATAAGAATACTTTATTTGATCAGACTAGCTAACAACATTTTCACAGTATAACCCAAGAGAACTCATCTTCAGATACACTCAGATCATGTCCATAGTTCCATGTTAAATAACAGCTTCTGTTCATGTACTGTAAGAGTAATTTACTCAAACTAGTGTGTTCAGTGACTCTCTAGTGATGGCAGTACTGGGATCATCAGTGGTTCACACACTTCAGAGCAGGCCAAGGCAAACTTAAGGTATAGGGAAAGACTTACATTGGCTATTAGGAAGAAAGTGAGGGCGGTGAAGCACTGGTGCAGAGAAGCTGTGGCTGCCCCATCCCTGGCAGTGTTCAAGGCTAGGTTGGATAGAGGTTGGAGCAACTTGGCCTAGTGGAAGGTGTCCCTGCCTATGGCAGGGGTTGTAACTGGATGAGCTTTGAGATGCCTTCAACCCAAACCATTCTACAACTCTATGAAAGGGTCAGAAGAGCACAGATCAAACAGCAACTTCATTCCCTATTGAAATGAAAAACAAAAAGAAGGGAGAAAAGCAAGCAGGTTGCCTAAAGGAGAATGATGGGATTAGTAAACACTTGCCTAGTAGAGATCACATCAAGCTTATCAGAACAGAGAACACGAAGATCTCCCAAGTTCTCGTCACTGACAATGGTTTTTGCCCACAGTCACATAGGAAAAAATTTGGGGAAACGTGAGCTAGACAAACCCAAAGTAGCTGCATAACTACTTGGAACTGCACTGAGATGTACTTAATGGTTTCCTGTCAAAACCGAAAGAACACAGAGTGTGGTTCCAGAAACGTCTGTCCTAGGTTCGCTTCTATTTGATATTTTCAGTAATTGCCTGGGTAATGGAATAGAGAACTTGCTTATTAAATCTGCAGAAGACACTAAGAGCTACGTATTTGAGAAGAGGACTAGAATGCAGACAGATTCTGGCAAATTGAAGTAATGGTCTGAAAAATATGGGACAAAGCAGCAAGACAGCGACAAAGTTTAGTCTTCAGAAATAATCAACTTTGTAATTACAGAGTAAGGAGCTAAATATCTATTCTTTAGGAAGGAGCTGAAGATTACAATGGACTACGAACCAAAAATGCGCATCTAACATAGCAATGCAACGGCAGATATACTGGGATATAAAAAAAGGTGTTCTACACATACATGACACCAAAGTAGTCCTATCACTCGAGTCACAGATAGTAAGATCCCACCTGGCACACAGCCTGGATTTTAGCACTGCACTCCAACACAGTTACAAACCCATTGCACACCAACATGATAACAGAAGTGATGAGAGGATATGGTTAAGAGGGAATGATCCACTTCCCACACTCACAGAGGGACAGCACTAAGAGCTATACACTGAAATTGCTGCCAGGTCAGGTCATGTTATTTACTGTCTCCCCCCAGCAACGACAGCAAAGAAGTGGGAGATATTTTGGGGCGGATTCCTCAATAAGGAGACTTAAAGACCATTTAAATTGCTCTGCTCTTGTCTCATGACAAGTGTATGGCATAGCTTTTGAATCCTCATTGTCTCAGATGTGTACAATGGGCAAGTCCTCTCCCTCTTAGTTCAGCCAACATGTTTTAATGCTTAGTAAAACAAGGGTATCAGCACTAAGACCAAGCACACTGCCGTTCTCATTCTAGCCCTCTGAGCAGCTTAAAGCCTTCAGTTTTAACCTGCAAAACTGCAAGTAAGCATTCCTCACCTGCAGTTTGCTGAATTGCATTTCTAGCCTCCAAACCAGCAGCAGTTAAAGTGCAACAAATCCTTCTCACTTAAACCATCTCCCTCTGGAGAGAATTTTTGTGGCTGTCAGAGGGACACCCACCACAAATGAGGCACAAAAGGAGCTCCCTGAACACTGCACAGTGGTATGTGCTATGGAAATATCAGGGTTCTTTATTCTTCCCACTTGTGTTGCATCCAAGGTATCAAAGCAATGGCTAAGCATTCAGGAGCATCTTCAGGCCTGCACTGTGGTGGATCTCAGCTGTCTTTTCACCTGGTTTTCGTGTTTGTTTAGTTTTATAGCCCAACAAGAACCCCTGCAATGCTGGCAGCAGCCAGCCTTCACAAGCTATTGTGAACTGGAGTGAAAACTGATCAACCACAGAGGAAAAAAGCAGACCTCTGCATGGGAAAGATGTGTTAGGTAAAGAAAATCACTTCTGATGAAGGGCATCATGAATCAGTCTGCCATGACAAACAGAGAGAAAGCAGAGAAAAGCAACCAAGCAGGACTTCACAGCACAGAATAGATTGCCTCATGATTCAGTGAGAAACTCCAGATCCCAAAGCATAAGCAAAGGTAGGCCAGTGTTACCACAACAGTTCGCTATGTTGAGACTGCTTTGGGTCATAAGGAGAAACAAAGTTAGTATCTACGCGCTCAGGAAGACGGATTTACCAAATTGAGAACAAAACCATTAATGGCTTTTCCTGCAATTCATCCTCCAGTGGAAATACCTTAGCCCCTCATGCATGTATGAGTATCATTCTCAAACAAGACATTAGAAGAGCACTTTGGTACCTAACATTTAAAGCAAATTTACTGAGCTGATGAAATAACTTACTGCAAGAATAAACCAGCCCAAACCAAAAAACCCTACTTCCTTTCCCATTCCTCACCCCCACATCATCTACTGTACCATTGTTCATGCCCCAGAAATGGCATTAGGACTGGAAACCTGACAACTCTTTCTGCCAAGTGTGGCTGCACCTTTTCAAACACTGCTTTAATCTAAGGAACTGTCAGTGACATGCCTACGTACTGACAGAACGGGCTCAAGAGGCTGCCCAGAAGAAAATACACAGAAGCCACTCTGTTGATGATGAATTGCTATTGACCCTACTTGAGAAAGAACAGACTGGTCCTTAGTTCAGGTTTAGTTATACTCTTAACTCTTCTCTCCATCAGGAGAACTAGTATAACTGAAGAGCCTGGTTGAGCCTGGTGTAACTGGAGAAAGTCCTATACCATTTTGGGATGCTTTCTCCCAAGACAGAAGCAGGCTACTTCAAATGACTTACTACAAGTTATCTTTGCTGCTCCTGATTTATACTTTATTATTGAGAGTTACAAGAACTCACAGAGGAAAGGCTTGAGCCTTATGTTGCTCCTGTCACCACCATCTAGTCTTTGTGTTTGCCTTGAAACTCTGCAGATCTCCACGCTGTCCTTAACAACATTTACATTTACTGCCAGACAGAGCTTTGTCTAGTTTGCACTGCATGAAAACAGGCAGAAGCTAGACAGTTACACTTAAAATGTCCTTTTTTTCCTTTTTTTTTGCTGGAAAACAAGCAAGCACGGAAAACACAGCTCTCCCCTTGTTTTAAAGAGCCTGATTCTAACAAAAGTCCTCTTGCAGAGGAAAATAACCATAAAACCTGGCAATAAGACATAGCAGGACATTATGAAGTATGGAGGCTTTTAACTTCTGCCATAGCCTCTGAACACAAGTAGATATTTATCACATGAAAGACAAAACACACCCATGCACTGGTTAGTCAGGATGCTGTCAGGCACTTAGTCACTTGCTCAAATAAACCTTGGTATTTTTCCCCTACAGAAACAACATTTAATATTTATAAAAGCAAAAATAGGACCAGCAAGACCAAATCAACAAGAAACTTAATACACTTTCCTTGCAGTGCTTCACCTGTCACAATGTGTATACACCATGCTTGTCAAATACATGCAAACTTAACCTCCCTGCTACAGCCGGGGAAAGGGGAACAAGACACAGACTGCACCTTGCCATATGCCCAAAAGAGTAAAACTTCTGGTGAATCAGATGAGAAGAATTCAAGCAAAGCTAAGGGGAACAAGCCAAAAGGCACAACAATGGAGATTCCCAAGGCAAAGGGCAAAATGCCTTACTAGGAAAAGGCTCACAGGAAATTCTGATCCTTGAGTTTCCAATAATCTCTATTTCACTATGGGGAGATGTAAATCACTTGATCAGCTCTTTAAAACTTTCTCCAGCTTATTTCTGGCAGGTTCTCCTAAATTCATAGCAGCTTCTTCAATTTACTGAAATCACTAAATTTGAAAGGTGCCATATTTGTCCTGAAAAAACCCAAGTAAAAAATACTAAGCATGTAATGCAAGGTTGAAATTCATTCTAATAGGCAAAAAGGAATAAAGCTCATTTCTGTATAATCCCAAATCCTGCCACATCTCAAGTTCAAACATCTGCATCACAAAGGCACTGCCTATTTACCAGCTTCCAAAGTAAAACCAGTTTCTGAAGTAAATCATTTTAAACACCTTTAAGTGATGGTGATTCTGAAGTCAGTATGCACTAGCTGAATCTCACCTGCAGCAATGACAGATTTTATGGATCCAAAGCAAACATAGCTATGTGTTTGGAAAGAGGATCTTTGTTACTAGAGGTATTTCTGAGAAACTAAACTCCTTGCATGACATTTCAGGCTGGATTCTATGATTCAAACTACCTTGGAGCTATTTCCCAGTAAGATCCATTTCTTTCTGAGCTATGATGGCAAACACTTTCTGCCTGTCTCCCCCCACCCCAATAAGAATTTGAATGTTGATTCGTTTCACCCAAGTAAAGGAGATTTGCCAAAGTGGAAAAAACTCTAAGGAACAGGCTTCTGAGCCTGTACATGAATTGCAATTATGCATGAAATGTGTGACTACTAAAGAGATTAGGTTAGCTTGGCTCCTATTAAGGCAACAGAGTCTGTCACATTTATAGCTGTATTCAACACTTCTTGCATGCTGAATTTCTCAGGGCAGTTTCTATTACAGATTCAGAAATGCCATTCATTTTTTAAGTCCTTGGAAAACCACTGCAAAGAAAATGACAGGGACTTCAGCAGAGCCATACTTTGTAATTTCTCTAGACTGAGGTCCTACTGCATTTGTGGTACCTCATAGTTTAACAGCAAATAATAGAACAGGGAAGAGTATTGGTAAAAATCCATCTCCTCAGCTCAGTGTAACTTAAGTTTCTGCAAAGGCTGAACAACAAGGCAGAAGGGACCTTACATTAGGCTCGTTTATATTCTGTAGACAGGTTTCACTGTTGGTTTGGTGGTTTGTTTTCTAAACCATGAAGCATTCATCACAATCTGCAAGGCTTGCTGGTGTTCAGCAACATACATTAAACACAGAAGCTTTTTTACTTGCTATTTTCATGAGCACCTTTTTGCCTCATGAAAAGCTTTACCAGCTCATTCCACATTACTGCAATCTTCAGCTCAGAGGCTCCTATGGATATCACAAATCTCTTTATTAGTTTAACACACAGCAAACAGACACCTTGTCTTTAAACACGTGGGCAGACCCTAATCTTTTTCAAAGGAGGATTTAGAGAGATTAAAGTAAACTGTTTTTAAACATTATTTTTCTCAAATCAAGTGAAGAGGTAAAAAAATAAGGAGGGGGGAAGGTTCTTACACAGCTTCCATCTCCAAGTCATCCTCATCATCCTGAGACAGCTGTAGATAAGGGTTGTCTGATGCTGGACGGAACTTGTACCCAGTGAGGACAAAGAACACAAGGGTGGCCATTTCATCCAGCAGCTGCAAGCAAAAACATGAGACTGAAGTTCAGTCCTGTAATCCTTCATGGTCAAGAAACATTCCTCCTCATTCATGAGGTTCAAGGTTTAATGGGCCAAGAAGCCTGTGCCACAGCAGAAATAACAAAGCAATTCCTGTCCTGTTATCATTAATCCCAGGGTAAAGGCTGTCAAGTCCTTTGTTCTTTCAGCTTCCCCTGTCACTTTAAATACAGTTACAGTTCTAGCCATCACTCCAGTGCTTTTAAATAACTACAGCAAGACTTGACTTTTAAATAAGGGGGGGGGAGAGAGACTATCATCCCTATGTTGTTTTGGTATTTTCAACAGTTAATGTATTCCAAAGACTCTCTGCACAGTCACTTGGATTATACGTTAAGAAACCAAGTATTTAAAAGTCACAAGGCAAATAAGCCTGTACACGGAAGAGCAAAAGTGCATTTTATTGGCCCCCCAGGGCCTCAATTACACAAGGTAAACCTGAGGAGTTCTTTTTCTCCCTTTGTATGTTCTTGATTAATTTCTTTCAGACATTTTAAGTTGAAAGACTAAAAATCAATAATACAATTACTGCCAGACATCTCGGGTATAATCCAGCAGACTGGCTGGACAAACATAAAACTAAACATATATTCCCATCACCTTAGGCACATTAGCGATAAAAAGCAGGAGACAGGGTGCAGGACTGTGCTTTGGGATGTACTATAACATGAGGAACAATGGTGCAGTTATTTATAGTCAAACATTTTTTGATGCAGTTATATTTAAATAATAACAAGAAATAAAGAAATGGATGTGTTTTCCTTTCTTGGCAAATACCTGGTACAGCCATTTCCACTGGAATGGAACAGCAATCTTTATGAGAATTGCAATGATCCGTGTGAAGTAAATGTAACACACGATCTGGGAAGGAAAAGGAGAAAGCATGAGAACAATAGCACCATCCTTATAGAACCTCTTTTTCCAGAGAAATAGTTCAAGCAATTCCCAAGCAACTCATTAACTCAGACTAGCCTTATTATGCTCCTCGATAAATATGGAAGATGTAGGCTGAGGGCTCTACTGCTGGTTGAACATCCAAATGACTCAACATACTTAAGTTACAGCAGGAAATGCTTTAAGTATTACGATTTTGTAGAACTTGAAGAATCATGATTGTAATTTATTACTTTTCCTACTTACAAGAGTCTGAAATGAGGCCGCTGGAAATCATTAAGAAGCTCAGGCTCTCTTGGGAGGGATGCTCATGGCTCCCACAGACTTAATCAGAAACTGCACACATGCATCTCAAGGCACCATTTGGTCCTAGGTTTAATTTTTAGCAAGTTTACAGTACGTTATTCAAGCCCATCAATTCAACTGGCAGCTCAAGCTGTCTCCAGAGGAAATCAGTAAGCATTACAAATAGCTGGACCCAATTTAAAGATAGTAGGAGGCAACCACTATGAAAAGACAGGAAGTTGTTTCGAGGATTATAACCCAGCTGACCAAGATGCCAAAGCAGAGCACTACCACAGAACTAGGAACATCTCCACCATATCCACCAGCTACTGTAGCTTCCAACAAGTAATCCATTAAAAGGCTTGAGTGGCTTCCAAGTACTCTGTATTTAAATGTACATCTGTATGCAGGTGTACAGATGTTTTACTTACCATAACATAGTAATGTCGGAAAAGCTTCAGCTTTGCTAGGTTAATGGCAGCTATCAAGAGAACACAAGAGACCATCAGAAAACTGTTAAAATGAGACTGTTTCTTTTGATGCTTGTCTGCAAATAGGCAAGTAGTCAAAAGGAGGATTCAAGTAATCCCAGGTTAGAGAGTTTGTCTCACAGCCCACTGGGTGCTCCGAGGAGTGCCAGTCCAACTTGTCTATGTGCTGGATACCTCCTAGGCTGGGGTGAACTCTCTCTTAAAAAGGCAATTCACTGACATCATCTTTACACTAAATTTCATATATGCATGCACTCTGCAAAACAGACTCTTCCTCTATCCATATATAGCTAACTACATATTGTCACCTCACTCCTGTCAGAAGGGCCATGCCACATTGCTGTCATGGTTTAACCCCAGAAGGCAACTAAGTACCACATAACTCACCCAAATTCCCCAGTTTCTATACTGACCATTACCTATGGTATGGAATATCCTTTTAACTAGTTCAGGTCAGCTGCCCTGGCTGTGCTCCCTCCTGGCTTCTCACATACCTCCTTGCTGGCACAGAGCATGAGAGGCTGAAAAGCCCTTGATCAGGGTAAGCATTATTCAGCAACAACTAAAACATAGGTGCATTATCAATGCTATCCCCGGACTAAAACCAAAACACAGCCCTGTACCAGCTGCTAGGAAGTACCTCAGCCAAAACTGTCTCCTAAAAAATTCAGATCTTTTCTAGATTACTTCCTGTCCTGCTCTGTGCCTTCAGCTGATCTGAGTGACTCTGAGGTAACCGTGGCTCTGGAAACCACTACACCTTGTTGAACATCAGCAGCAGTAGTCCTGTAGCAAGTAGTATCCTCCATCATTTGTAGCTCAGTCACAACTTACAAGTGAAATGGGAAGTCATACTAAATAGTTCTCCCAGCAAATGCATGTGTTTCAGTTCACAAACCATGTAAGCTGGGGCCTCGGGCGAACCTATGTTCACTGGACAGATTACATCAGCTCTTGAGGAACACAGAGATATTTATGGGAATGAGCAGAGGTCAACAGCAGATGGAAGAGCTGTCAACTCTGGTTTGACAGTCAGGTTTTATAGGTGCATCACAAACACAGACTCCTGATGCTTTTGTGACAAGAGAGGCAAAGAGTCCAAGATATGTTGACAGCATACAGGAATGCAATTTAGAGTCAGTGAATACAAGTTGCCAGATAGAAAGTACTGCTACATGCTTACTGGTTGGTATTCACTTCAAGCCCTCCATTTTTTCTTATCAGATGTGGAAATGCAACACATTGTGCTTAAGTTTGCCTGCCCCCCCTCATGGAAATCACCCACTGCAAAAAGCAGATTTTTGCAATGATTTGCACATAAGGTCTTCCAGGTTCAGAACAGTGCAAACTGCAGTATTATGCATGAGAAAGAGGAGGGCTAATAGCTACCACAGAAATGCTTTACTTCCTGTGGCAAAAAAAAAGTGAAGCTTTTCTTATGGAAAGGTAATGTCAAATGCATCACTCACTCTTAAAGGCTCCCACTACATTAGCTGCAGTGAAGACAGAGAACATTCTGTTTTAAGCTTACTTTGTATAATCTAGAGATCAAGAGTCCCTTTCCAACTTACCTGTAGTGTTCCAGGAAAACCACTGAAAGCTATGGACACCTTGAGACAGATACAAACCCTGTTCCAGCAGATGTACTATAACAATAGCACCTGACTAACACAAGCCATAAACTAGCTGACAGGTAGATAAAACTAAGCTACTAAACGTAGTTTTGATGTAGTGCTGGCTAGTGACTTCTATGTATTTCCAAACAGCATGTTTAACTTCTGCAAGAAGACAGGGAATGTCAGTAAGAGAAAGCAGGGCCAGAGCTCAAGAGGAAAAAAGCAAACCTTATTTTAGAAGGACTGTTTCCATGCAGCTAAAACTCCTCCTCTACAATGCTCATCTGAACATCAGTCCAACTGGGTTGACTTTGGGCAAGACTGAGCTCATGGGGCCAATCTTATGGCACAGTATGTCACACTAGCTCCCAGTTTTGGGAGCATAATCCTTTTGAACTGCAATAAGAAACACTGAACATAGAATAGCATCTACTTTGCAATATACACTCCTGGACTCCAGAAAGCACTGCCAAGCTGTACGCTTGAATCTGTAGAGTACCAGCAGTGAAGCACAGAGAACTCCACTGGGCAGCAGATGGCAAGGCCTAGAACAGCTAGAACAACCTAACTAAATCCTTCTTAGCTACTGAGACATTGGCTTAGCTACTTCTCCTTCATTTCCACCCCTTGCAAAAGCTACTTTCCACCATTTAAACAGCAAAAACTTACAGACTTTATGGGTCTAGTGCTCTACCAGATAACCTAATGTTAAAAGCCTTTCATGGAGAAAAATTAGAGCATCTAAATATGCAGGACAAGCTCATTAAATTGTGAAGCAGGGAAGCAATACTGTCCTATTTAAAGGAGAGCTACATTAAGTGCAACCACGAAGATCCTGTGATTTACCACGTACCAGTTTATCCACAGAAGGATCTATTTTGAACTCAACGCATCCAACTTCAAGAACTGCCACCAACTGGTGCAATGACAGGCCATGAGAATTACCAGGCTCTGCAGTTAAAGGAACACCAACTCAACAGCTGTGATTCAAACTGCCAGGCCATCAGTGCTTTACAGTCAACAACTGAGTGAGCTGGGGAGTCATTTCTGTTGGATTCATGCAGTGCATAGGAGGGAAGGATCATGAAGCCAGCGATCTGGCTGCCAAGTGAAGTGTCACAATGCCACCTCTCCCAGCTGACAGAGCACAGCTCAATATCCCACCTACTCACCATGGCAATCAATACCAAACAGTCACAAATTGGTACATCTAAACATCTACAATGGCTGAGCATGAGTAAGAAGCGTGAGGGGTGGAAAAAAAGAATCACCACTAGGTAGAAAGACTGAAGAGCCACCTCTGGAAGCGGGCTTCCTCCTTTATCCCAACGAGGTGCTCTCCTCTAGCTTCCTCCACTTCAAGAATACTTCTCTCCACTATCAGATACTGAAGCCAGTATTAATGCATGCCTACACCATTCTGCCAGTTTTTTAAAACAGCTCAAAGTTACAGCACAAACTGTTCCGGAGAAAAATCTAAAATCATCATTGCTTGGCATCGCTTGTGAATTGCTTCTTCACAGGCTGAACGTGCTCCAAGCAGCAACACTCGAGTCCTGCTACGCTGGACGCTTTCAGACTTTGATTCACCTCAGCCTGGCAGTCCAGACACTGACAGCAACATTTCCAAGGACAGAGGCTAGGCCAGCAGCTGTCACTTCCAACTTGAATCACTTGCAGCTCCAACCTGTAAAGCTGCGATAACACAGCAGCAATCACAGCACGCAGTAAAGGTTGGGTAAATTTATGCTTCAAGTATGATAACCATTCTCCAAGGAACAATACTTAGCTGCAGAGAAGTAAAACCACAAAAAAGCAGAGACTTCCTACCAAAGATTTTACAAATAAATTCAGCCCTGTGTTCCATCCCTTTCATAGAGTAATTAAAAAGATAAAAGCCATCCTCCAAGAAAGGTTTATGACAACATCTATACCTTGCTTCCCTCACTTTCCCCCTGTATCACCATTTACTTTAACAGCTTGTGTCTGCAATAGTCTGATCCACAGTGATCAAACCAGTATACCACAGTACTTTAATAATCAGTCCCTTTTTCAGGTTGCCCTGTGCTAATTTCAAATGCTGAGACAGCCTGTAAGATAGGTGAAATGAAAAACAGTCACACCATCCACTACAGCTTTACCCACCAGACAATAACTTTCTGATGAATCAATCTGGTCTTTTTAGAATGTGTGTAATAACAGTAACAGGACTGTGCTGAGGGCACAGAGAGCTCAAGTCCAGACACTACAGTATGCAAGGGCAAACCATAATGCATCTGAAGTGAACACACTGAAGTACAGCCAAATATTTCCACAATGCTTTGCATGCTATACTAACTCTGGTGCATTTGAGATGCAATCTGTGCCGTTACCAAATAGTAAATGGATTTTTTTTTTTACTATTCTCCCCAAGAATGAAGGCACACACATAGATCTAGACCTCAAAAAGCAACTCCAGAAGTAACTCGGAGAAGTATGGCTCTATAATCTCTATAACACTCTGCTTAAAAGCATTCCTATACTAAACGAAGAGGTCAAGCAACCAGATGCAGTAAGTTTCAGTATCATGCATGAGAAGGTGGTACAGACTTGTTAATCTTCAATATTCTGAAATACATTACCCACTTGGCACAGAAGTTCCCCACCAGGGTCAGAAAGGAGTCCAAAGTACAGGATAAGCAACGTATCTCCAACACATAACTGCTACGTCAACCCTGGGTAGCTATCTAGGTTGCCTGGAAATGGTACACTGGAACACAATAGGCTTATTTCACTTCTCAGCTTGCATTTCTCAACATATCCAGGCTCTCCAGTGCTATCCATTGAGGTCTTGACACTTAAATCACTAAAGCTTTATCTCAAGGTTTGAGATGCCCATGTATTGCCTAGAGCACGTTTACCCCCTCCTCCTCCCTAGAGCTGCAGAGGTGTTTTATCACGGGTCTCCACGAAGCCATTGCCTCCAGCGTTTGCTGAGTTCAGCTAAGCAGAGGGTGTTCTACAGCAGGCAGGACCAGGCTCTTTGTTCACAGCATTTTCATGGTACAGAAGCAGGACGACACTGAAAACAGCAAATGGTTTTTCCTGACATGGGGGCAACCGTGAAAGCATTAATCATCATTTGCCCAGTGCACAGCACACAGGGAATGCTGCCTGGGAGCTACACACTGCAGTGTATTTCCCCTAATTCTGCTGCCAACTATGACACGCTGCAGTGCTTCAGGAAAATAGCTAAGAGTTCGTGATCAGACTGCACTGAGTTTCACATCTCATCACACACACAGTTACAAGCAGAATAAAACCTGCAGCAGCATTTCCAGCCCTCCAATCCTCCCTCATACAGACGACATGATACACAGGAGTGGGTTATAAGACTAGAGAGGGCCAGTGACCAACAACTTCAAGTTTCAAACTAAAATAAGCAAGTTTACTACAACATAGTCTCTCTTCCTTTTCGCATGATGCCTGTAAACAAGGTAGTGGCAGTTGAGCAGCTTTCCAGCGCAAACAGTTCAGTTTGCAAGGTTGATATCCTTAGATCTGCAAGACATTTGTAAAGCAGACCTAAAAATGGGCAGAGAGCATGTACTTCCAGCTGACAGAAGATACAGTGACAGACCAAAGAGCTGCAGCAAGGCACTTGCTTAAGTCTGAAGGTGGTGATTTTTAAAGGGGGAAGAAAAAATAAAAGACTTCTAAAACCGGGATGCTTACGCCCACTGCTGTGCAAGATAAGAAGTCTGTGTAGGTCAGATACTTTGCTTTAGAGTTAAAGATCACCTTCAAGGGAAAAAAACAACAACCAGACAGCTCAAAGTCAGCTGTTATCACTGTGCTATGCCTACCCTTCATCAGCAATTCACAGCATCCGTGCATAATGTCTCTCTGGATGATTCTGGGTTTAGACCTATTCCTTCAGCTTTCCAATTTAAAAAAGAAACATCAAGTTTAAATGGCCATTACTTAATGGCTACAAATCACTGCGACATATAATAAGCCTTTTTAGTAATTGTACATTGCTAATACAAAGGTCTATGGCAAGCACAACTGTAAGCCTGAAAGACAGGTAGTCCTGACAGCCTTCTGCTTCGTTTCTAGTCTAGTCACGCACACTGCAGTCATGCCTGCACTTGACCCAAGGGAATGATAACTAATAAACAGGTTGTGAAGTAGCTGGAAGAGGACAAGACAGACAGTCAGGAAACACCACCAGGATACTGAGCCATGAAGTCCTTGGAGTTGTTAGTTCTAATAGACGCAAAGAAGCAAAACCAATTTTCCTCAGGTTTTTCTCACCAGCGAGAAGGTCACCAGGAGACTCAGTGCCAGAAAAAAAACCAGCTCTTGGATTTATTGTATGTAATTCCCCAAGACACCCTATAAGTTAATGAAGTCTGTGTGAGAGAACAGGGAAAACTGTCTCTGAGGTAATACTAGACAATAAATCCTTACAAGCAATAGGCAGTCCAACTAAAACTGTCTGCACAAGATTGTCAGCTCTAGCCACAGTACAGGCAGTGCAGCAGTTAAACTGCATGTGAGAGGACTCAGTAGTTTTTACCACTTCAGGAGAAAACCATCTTTATCTGTGGAAAAACCCAAATGCTGGTGATTTCAGAGTTAGCATTGGTCCTGTTTTTCTCATGAGAAGTTAAGACATGAAGCAGAACCTCTGCAGAAAAGGGCCTCCAAGGGAAGCCTACAGAGTTAAGAGCATGTGATTCTAATCAAGACAATTCATTGATAAGCCCAACATGACTGATTTTATCTTATTACAGTGCAACCAAATCACTTTTTGTTTTCTCAAACAGGCACACTAGCAGCATAACAACGTTAGATAACATTCTGCTTCTGGTATCACGTTGCCATTCACTTGCTCCCCGTGGGCTCCTATCAACAGCTTCTAAATACTCCAACCACGCTGTATTTCAGAAGCAGGTCCCAGCACTGTGGCTGTCCTGTCAACAATCTGCTGCAGCCTATGCAATGTTTTCCCTGAACATTTTTTCCTTAGCTATTCTTTTTAGTACAGCATAACACAGCTGCTAAGTCCCTCTCAACACACAATTATTGATCTTGTAGGATCAATCATCTCTAATTTGATGTTACAGACGGTAACATCAGAAGGTAAAGCATGGTAACAGCAGTAGGTGATCCAGAAGCAACATTCACAAGTGCCATTAGCCATGGGGAATAACACAAAACAGAAGACCAAGAACAACCCTTAAGGGCTGTTGTGCCTAGCACTGACTAGCCATAAAGATACAACCTGTTCTTCTCAAATCTCCATTTTCTTTTGCTTCCATTATACACTATAATGCATCCTCTAGAACTGCTTGGTTTTACTCATATCTGGATTCCACCTATTACAACGAACTGTGGACAAGTTCAGTCTATGCCAATGCTCTCTCAGTATGTCCCGAAGTTAAGCAAACTCCATAGCACCATCTTGTGATTAGAACCACCAAGTGCAAGGCTGGCATTGACAATAAGGTGATCACTTGAGGCCCCTCAAATCTAGAGGGTTTGTGTCCCAGTTGCTGAGTGCTCAGTATTGGAATAGTCACAGACCTGCCCTGCCACCCAACAGTTCTGCCTTGGTTACAGGAACACTGACCTCCCTTTACAACCACAGACAGTGGCTTCTGCTAAGAATCAGGCCTTACATATGTGAAGTCCTCAGTTCAGATGAAAGACTGCTTCAAGGAGCATCTAAATTCAAGCAGACCTTTCAAAAGTAAGAGCATAAGCACTCCAGAACATATGCTCAGCGGACAAGGCAAAACAAAGTCACTGGTGAATGTCACTGCACCCACGTGAGCACACTGATGAGAAAGCTGCCAATAATACTCATGTTACATCATCAGTACTAACCTCTGCTACCTTGGTTTTTCTGTTGCATATTATTATTTTCCCCCTTCAGATTTGGTGGGGGTTTTGTGTGTGTGTAGTGGTTGGGTTTTAACAGCATGGAATCTCAAAAAAAAAAGCCAAATGCTGGGCTCACCTTAAGTATTGTTTCAATTTAACAGATAGCAAGAAAATATCTTATCTGTGTGGTCTGCACAAAGCAGAGTTCAGAATCCAGCCTTATACCGCACCTACTAGACCACAGATGCAATGTGCTGAATTACAAGTACGTCAGTGGAAGCCAAGGAAATCACTGGAAGAAGCATCCAGATCTGGGAGTCTATCTCCAGAAAGGAAGAGTATTGAAATGGCTGCCTGATTACAAGGAAGCCAGTGCTATGCTCCATGGATGGCATCTGCAATAAGGTGAGCAGATAGGGCAGGAAAAGCACACTCTACAGAAGCCACGTTTGCTTTCTATCCATCATGTCACTTCCAGTGCTACAATAAACACAACCTTACACAAGCAGCCCTTTAAGCTGCTGTACAAACATGGGCAAGTCAAGAACTGTGTTACACTGAATGCCAGTTTATGTTTTGTCTCATAATCAGGTTTGTTTCCCTCTGTAGAAACTGAAATAAGGGGGCCTACTCTAACTAATAGTCAGCAATTCTGGAATTCATTTCTAGTTCTGCTTCTGAACACTCAAGCCTGAGGAAAGAAGGCAATCTATCAAGATGTCATGTCCAGCTCAAGCACTGAGAGCTGTGCAAGTACCAGAAAATTACGTCCACATACAAGTTCTGATGGTCAAAGCAATACATGAGAAGGGTCATTTTCCAAAAGTTATTCCTACAAGCCCACTGAGGAAAAGCAGCAGTGTGACACTGACACAGTGTAGATTCGTAGTTTAAGTTCATGTATTTTAAATCATCATGTGTTTGAAATTGTGCCATTATCTTACGGCATGCAACAGAAAAGACACTACAGATTACTTGCCTTTTCCATCTGTTGCTGAAGCCTCCTGTAAATGTCTTATTGACCTGAAAAATAAAAGTAAAAAGAGAGGGGATTAGCTATGAGTTTTATTCTCCCTTTTCACTGTAGCCCTCTAGAACACTGAGAAGTCTTGTTAGCTCTTTATGACTGGAGTATGCCTGCAATTAGCTGTGCTTAGCATGCTTGGCACTGCATATATTTCATCCCCATCTGGTGTGAGGCGTCCCTGCCCATAGCATGGGGTTGAACTAGATGATCTTAATACATAGATTCTATGATCTTCCCAGCTCAGGCATCTATATTTCCTTGTGATTAAGAAAGCTGATTGCTAAAACCTATTCCAGCCTACAGAAAGCTTTGTGGGAGGGAGAGAGCAGAGTGAGAAACTAGGGCATTTTCCAACATAATGCTTTCCACTTGTACAATTAAGCTGAGCTACTACTCAGAGTCCTGCCTAGCATTTGGCATCTTACTGCTCTTTTAAGCTCTTTTCATTTGGATAGTTGATTACAGCTTGTATGTCTACATAGGCAACTTATGTAACAGAAGCTGCCCTACAGGAATGTAAATTCAAGGGCCAAGCCTTAGTTGCCTTGTTCATGAGTCAGCCCACCAGCTGCAGCAACATTATCCAGATGAAAAAGGGACAGGATTTTATATCCTGGGCTTCTCTGCCTGTTTATGATGGTACCATGACAATGCAGGAACAGTGGTTACGCACTATACAGTTACATGACAGCTCACTCAAATGCAGTTGTTCTTCAGATACAGTTCTTTTATGGGAAGCAAGTTCTGTACCTGTGTATCATTAGGCATCATGTATAAATTCTAGCATTAGGTCGTAAGAGCTGTGACTGTATAAGCCACCTTTATCACAGGAAATCAGAATCTGTCTACAAGTGAAGTCAGTATTCCTGCAGATTTATTTACATGCCAAAATGCTCGTAACCAAATGCTCTTAAGAGCTGCAGCATTTTGGATGGAGTAGGGGAAGGGATAATTAGGTAGTGTATATTTCTTGGAAGACGTTTTCCAGCCTTGCCAGAAGGCTGCCAACACTGTGTTAGGATTCTGCCCTTACACAGAGGACAACTGGGGATGAGGACAACGGAAACCCACCCTTACAAGCCAAGCTGAAGCTTACTTCTGCCTATTGAGCAACATGTATTTTCTCTTTATACAGACACATGCATTATGAAACAGTTCACAAACACTCAAGAGTTACACTCTAGAGTGATGACATGTTTGCTAGACATTTATATTCACTCTGCATCTCAGAAAAATACTGGAGAAAAATAGCATTATGTGTTTACTAACCAAGGAGCCAGAAGCTTCTTCAAATCCAGCTGTTTATCCAATTAAGACTAAAATGAATTTAGAAGATAAATGTTTTGGCTAATTGGCAAGAAGCAACAATAGTGTTTATATGAATTATCTGTTTTGGTCGAGTTTTATATAACCAACATTATTCCTTGCCAAGTAGAGTGGAAGAAAGGGCAGGGAGATGGCTCCCCATGGGATTATTTCTTCTAAACAGCAAGTAAAAAATGCAGCCACTCTGCTTGAAGGCAGCACTGATCTTAGACAGCACTATTGGTTTTAAATCTAGCAGCCTAGTTTCCAGCCTCAGTCAGTAAAGCAAAATCCTGTTTCTCATTGTAAGAGTCAGCACTTCTGCAAAATTCCAAGTTTCAAAAGCACTGTGCTGGCCACACTTAAATCAACACCCACCTTGCCTTATCTTCACTTCAACAAGCATGTTCCACAGACAAGGTTGTAGTGTTTAGACTGATACCATTTAAAGCTTGACTCCAAAGGACTGGCTTTTTTTGCTTTGGCAGCACATCTAGCTCTACTCAGCAGTCCATATCCATTCATTCTGAAACAGCTCAGGCCATAAGGACTTAAAAACCAAGGAACACATACAGTGAGTGACTCACCATACCACTGGAAACAGGATGGCTCCACAACATAGCAAGTCTACCAGAAAAAGGATTTCTTTCCACAGCCCATATTCAGTTGTCCCCTCTTCCGTTGACTCTATGATAATGTATGCCACATTTGCTAGTACCTACAGGACAAAAACGTGTTTAATGGTTTTAGCAGCTTTCCAAGGAGATACTAGATATAGGCTGCCAATTCAGCAACAGCTGTCGCACAGTTGCAGAAAGAGCCTATTCAGTAACATCAATAAGTCTACTGCATCTCTGTGTCAAGAAAGTCACATATTCAGCAGCATCTTCACGGGATTTATAGAAATGAAACTGACTGGAACTTATTTCGACTGACTTCAGAAAGTAGTCCTTTTTGTTATATGCTATGCTGAATCTACTGTGTCAGAGGTAAAAAGAGCAAAACCTATTAAAATTAACAGGACACATACAGCTAAAAGTTTAAACTCATTATACTCAATTAAATCAATAATTCAAACTGGACACTGACCACGTTTGAGCTCCACAGCTGAGCTCTAAGAGCCTCAAACAGTAAATCTATTTCTTGTTTTGCAGTTTGGTAAGGGACCCCATCTGGAAAGGCAGAAAAGCTGTTCTACCTACAACAAGAAACAGAAGTGCTGCCCTCCTATGTACTTCAGTTCCTGGAGCAGGAGACAAGCACTGATCACTTTAAACATGCTGGAAAGGAAAGGTTTCCCTAGACCCAGCAAGCCTACATGTCCCTGTTTTCCCCCCACTTTCTTTATTTCTTAAGCCCATTCAGCAAGCATGTCAGAAGTGAAACTTTGATTTATTATCTCTGCTTAGTACTGTTCTGCAGCCCAAGTTCTGCACCAGCATGAATAAACATAGCTCATAGCTACTTGTTCGTTTGCTGACACTATTTGTTCACCATTATCTCACACTCAATACAGGGAGAAAAGTGTAACTTAGGGCCCAGGAAATCCCAGCTCAACTTTATTGTAACCAGGAGACTTATAAATGCAGTAACTATGTGGTACTTGGTAAAGGATTCACAGCCTTATACAGCTTGCAGGAGCAGCTCTCCCACAAAGTAGGAAGTACTGACACAGTTCAGTCCTCACCTGAAGTGGGATGACAATCATGAAGATTTTTTTGTCTTTATCTGACAGGATGTGTTTAATGAAAGCCCAGCCTGTGCCTATCAGAGCGATAGTGATGAACAGAAGAGCACCCTTCAGTCTGAAAGAGAAACAGATACTGCAGTAAGACTTGATCCCACTTCCTCTTCTGCTCAGGTTCTCTTCTACAATCAGTAAAGCCACAAGCCCAAATAAATGCCTTGCTATTCATAATTTTGGCAAGTGCTTATCCTACAACAGTGAAGCAGATGTATTTGCTTACAACTGTGTATCACAGCAGCATTACGTTCCATTCACAACTGTCGATATACACAATCTTTTCCTGGGGGAGTCATCCATTCACCACCCTGAACAAGAGAAAACACTTGCAGCTGTACCCTCTTACCATTCACACCAAGAGCAAATTAGATACTTGAATATCGCTACGAACAAAGAAAAGCATTTCTTATCCTTTTACTCCTCCATCAACATAAGTGCTAATTCTCTGCAGCTGCCCTTTGTAAGCAGAGCTTTCCCCTTCACACAGGGCTGATTGTTGTCTTGTCATTCAGACCACAGTACCAAAAAATCAGCAATTTTCCAGTTTGCTCAGGAGGTGGCAGCCCCATGGGGAATTCAATTCCATTGTCTGAATCCACTGCAATCTGCTAATACTCACAGGTGAGTGATGTAATAAACAACAGCCCAGCCTTCAATAGGGAATCCCTGAGAAGAAATGTAGTGATAGTCGATCTGGAAGCAGAAAATACAGTGTCTTATTTTACAGGCTGCTCATCAGTACCCCATCCATGTCTATAAAATAGGTCTGCTTGACAGCCACCTCAAGTTTCATTTTCCAAACAGTGTGTGCAAACTCATCTCTTCCTCCTAGCTTGTTCTAGTTTTGTTTAGCAATATGAGGTAATTTTCCAAGTATTAGTGGATATATCTTATACAATCTATTTCCTTCCCACACACCTCCCACACTTAGCTATAGTTAAACAACTGCATTTTTAACCTATTTATTCATTCATTGTTCAACTTCAGTTGCACTGGGTGACTAGAGGCTTTCTAGTTTCATTTTCATGGGAAATCAGATTCAGTTCATTAGACTCCAAAAATGTTTGGAGCGGTTATCATGGCTGGCACAGTCACTGAAGGATGAAAAGCTTGCCATTACCTTTGTTTATGAGCCCTTTCCAGTGGAAAAGCAAAGTCAACACAACCCAATAGAGCCTTTTACGTATTGAAAGTGTTAAGGCTTACAGCATTATGTCTGTTACAGTACACCATAAATATTTCATCTAAAGTAGTGCCCTTGAATTCTACATTCATTCTTATTTATTAACATTTATAGCAAGCCATGTAGCTGAAACACCACAGCTCAAGCTTTCAGGCAGCCTCAGATGTCCAAAACGTTACAGTTCCTGGAACTCATGGAACCCTCAATGCATGCTTGCTGCCTCATCACTTCAGGCCATGATCTCAATTGTATTTAAAGTCAGAATCTGTCGATGAAAACTGAATGAACCAAACAGCTGCAGTCGAGTTCCAATGCTTCGATATGAAAGACACTTCTCTCCCTCCCATTCTTCCCCCACCACAAAGCAGATTTTCCTGACAGCACACCCTGGATTCCATGTTTCTATTTCCTTGCTGAGTAACTGAAGGCAGAGACATTATACGTACTGCATGGAAGACTAAGGATAGAGATTTCGTGAAAGGGAGGGCTGCCATCAGCCAGTGAATCTTAAAGACATCATTTCTGGGGAGAAAAAAAAAGAAGGAAGAGCATCAATTAGAAGTCAGCAGTAATAATTCCAGTTCCCAAGGGTATTTCTTTAAAGCCTATAAATATCAAACAGTAATTCCCAGGCTGAGCTGACTATTAGTGTAAAAGGATTCCCTCTAATGCTGCAATCCAAGTTTTGCAACATTCTGAACACCATTTCAACTACATGCTCTGCAGCTCTATTTTTAACACTTGGGTTGTTTAAAAATAGCAGTCCATAGGAACATCTTGCCTATATAGACCATAACTGTTTGAAAACTTGCTAAACATAATTCAAACGCATATCACTCCACCCCCAAGACTCTACATCACCAAGTGAACTCCAGACTCACCAAATCATCATCACCAACCGACCTTCAAACTACCAAATAATCTGATACCAAGTGAACCCCAGGCTGCCAAGTAATCCTGCCACACAGTAAACTTCAGACTATGCCAGAAGAAAAACCAAAATGGAATCATAGGTGCTCCTGGCTTCTGTTGCTATGTTTTAACTATGAAGAAGCATGGTTTTCAATTAGGAATTCCTACCACTTCCGACCATAATCAAAATGTTTATGGCTCTCCACTGCCATAAGCTGCCATTCCCCATACAAAGAACCCCATGATCAAGTTTTTCTTGTTGTTTGTTTTCAAACAGTGTTCTCCTTTCATCACCAGCTCCAGGAAGTTTCCTGTTTATTTGCTGCTACAATACATGAATTTCTTCACATAATACTTGATAACTTCAGAACAATGGTCTGCAATCATGACACTGATGGAAGTAGTTATTTTCAATATAAGCTGTATGTGTTAGGCAGACAATACTGAGCCAGATTTCGAGTTTTAAGTGATGAAATCTGACTGTGAATTGGGCATTATATAAGGAATAACACCCCCCCCACCGCAACCCCCAGTCAAAGAAGGTAGGCCTATACATTCACTCACATTGAAGCAGTCCACTTACCTGCGCTTACGAAGTATGTGAATCCATACAGTCCCAGACAGGAAAAAGAAGATAGCCATGGAAATGTAAAGCTTTGGCAGCGGGATCTCACCTGCTGAGAGGTAGCTTTCAGGATTCTTCTCAGTAATTTCTATCTGAATATTAAAGGTGTGTTATATGTATAGTGGAAAACACATTTTGTTAAAGCACGGAGTTAACAATTACAGTTCACCATCAAATTCACTCATTTCAAATCCACTTTTCTAAAGCAGTGACTGTTGTAAGACTCTTAAAGCAACTCTCCATCCTCAAGAATCTCAAAATATTTTGCAAAATCACACCCACAATGATAACTTCCAGAAAAGGACAAAGGTTCCTTCCAGTGCTTCTGTTATACGACATCATTCAGAAAGGCAAAGTAATTCTCCCAAAGAATACTTGATCTCTGTACCAAATGCCAGAGCTTGCCCATCTTTGACTCAAACAGCATCTAAAAAATCTTGCATAAACAAGCAGGATTTTTAGCACAGTCCTGATTTTAGGTGTGGAGAATCATACACAGCTGAAAACCCCACTTTTAGGTTTACTACAGTGGATTTCTTCACCTGGCAAGAGAAAGGAAGCACCCTTCTACAAGCCTATTACCCTGTGAGAAAACAGAAGCTTTATTTAACATCCTATTTATGCCCTAAAACAGCTTGGTTATATGTGCTAGGACTTCATTAAAATAACGCATCAAGACTAGTTTGCAGTACTGAAACTGTCCCGCACCAATAAATACAACCAAGCAGGGTAGCTATCCAAGTTTTCTTTCCAATTTCTTCAGCAGGTCAAAGCAGCAAACAGCAATCAAAAAGAACTGGTCTTCAGAACATAAAACTTTAGAAGCAGATTTAATGTAGCCAAGTCTGAGCTAAGTTAGGGCTGCTCAGTTTTATCACCTACATGTTTCCTTGTTTTCTCTTTGCAGCAGTATCAGCACACCCATGTAAAAAGGAGTTCAGGGGCTGATCTGGCTGAGAGTTACCTTGGTCAGTGAGGGGATTCATTACAGAATAGCTCACTACATACCAGTGTGAGAACAGGAAAGAGAAAAAAAGGAAAGCCTGAGCTGTGATAATGCACTCTGGTTCAAAAGAACATAGGACCGAACCCTTGAATGCTGAAAACGGATAAGACATTTGTCTTTAAGATGCAATTCCAACACTGCAAAACACATCTGTAATTAGGCCAGAAAAGTCAGAAACAGTGAATTCACAAATACCAACAATCTAGATTGCAGCAACAGCCTTAACATCTGCAATTGTGTCAAAAAAAAAGTGATTTTTTGAGCATAGCAAAACACAAACAGCTGGTTTAGCTCTCATCTCTTTACAGCATCTAGTCACAACTGTGTAGACTGAACCCAGCCCACACGCACTCTTCAGACTTCCAGACATTTCTGCTAAACCAGTATTTTAGTGCTTCTTATTGTAGTTGCTTCCTTCAGAAATGCCACTACAGAGATTAAATGCACAACTCTGAATCACTCCCCACTCCATATATGCACTCATGTGTTGTATACTCATGGATATAGAAGCTGGAATTGAAAGCTGCATGTTTCAGTCTAAGTAAATGAGTTAATTATCCCTTAGAAGCTATACTCACATCAAGACTAAATAGCTGCTGATCATTGGCTGGCCCTTCCTTGCCAACACACTTATGGAAATACAGGCTGTAGAGACCTTCTTGGTTATCAGAGCTGATGTTAAAAAAGAACTGGAAAGGAGGAAAAGGAAAGTTAGCATTCTTTTCATTCACAACAGGGTTGCCCTGGTAAGAAGCCATCTCTGCTGAAGCATGAAAAATGTCTGTCACTGAGGGTCAGTTGTTCCTTTCAGCAAGTGTACTGGTCTGAGGATACCAGCATATCAACAGAATTCCAGATGCAAAATCACTGCACCTATCTATGATTATACACTCTGGTAATCCAAGATCTTTATCAAAGACCTTTAGGTATCAGTATTTAACTTAGTTCACTGAAACTGAGATGATACCAAGAAGTATCATATTGAATCATATATCATATGATGAAGCACAAAGTTTTGATCATGTTTGCCCTGGAGCAGCTATTCTGCTCTTCCCTCAATTATACAAATTGTGATAGCTATGCAAATGATATTTGTGTCACATTACAGATTTAAAATGAGTTTGTTTTATAGTAACCATCATCAGAGAACCAGTTTGCTGAAACAAAGTGTTAATCTGGTTTCATACAGATTATCTTCCCCTCAAGTGAGTCATCAGTCAAGCCACAGCTGTTTGTTGTTAGCAATCTGTATGCACTAGCTGTATTATGGTAAACTTCAATATGGCAAGGCTCACAGACTGAGACATTTAGAACTGCATCATCCCAAAGGCAGTTCAAAACAGCTTCCACATCTTATGAAGAAAGATTTTCCAGCATTTATTTTTAACAAGCGTCCACTGAAAAACATCCTGAGCTATCAGAGGCACCTCTGACAGACTTCTACTTTTCACACAGTAATACAGTGAAAGAGCACACATTAAGACGAGACACCCTACCTGAAATGAAAAAGTTCCTCTGTCATTGTGAACAGGATGTTCTTGTTCTATTATGCTCTGGGAAAAGGAGAAAAGACTTTCAGATTTAAGCAGCTATCTACCACATCTGGCTACATCAGCCACACAATCAAAACTGCATTTTGTGTATTTACAGCGGAGGAAGGCTAAGGAAAACAGAACACTCTCCACTTTCTGGCTATGCTTACACTGGACTAATCACCAAGGTTCTTTCTGAAAGAGAACAGCAGATAGTTTCTTACCTGGGAGGCTGATGTGCTTCGTTTGGACTTGTTATCTAGAGATAAAAGTATTAATAGTACATTTAGAGTGTTTGCATTTAGACATCCTTTTACACATTGCAAATACCTTACTCAAATCTCTCTTAACAGTTGTCTGCGTGTCAGTTTCCTAGATAATCATTAACAGAGATTCTTTTCCAGTCTCTCCTTAAAGTCTCCCAGGACTTCCCCCAACTAGCATTCATACTGAATGTATCCTCAAATGCTACAATCAGCTTCTCCACTATTAAACCTTCTACAAAAGCCTACCCAAGAAATATTTCCAACCCCTCCAATTACAGTGATCCAGGAGGCAGATGACCTATAACAGATGTAGGCTACAGCTATAACTGTTAATGTTATGACTACACGCTGTTAGTCTCACTGACTAATCTTAATCTGGACATTAATACATGGCCTGACAGACACCCTGAAGTTACAATTAGCCCTGGGGAAGGAAAAAGTTCTCAACTCTCTAATAAGTAAAGCCCCAGTAAAAAAAACCAATCAAAGAAAATCCTAAAGCATAGGTGACCTTTGCCAAGTCAACCCCTCTCCTGAACTTGAGAAACTTACACTGACAGGAAACTTCAAAAGAGCAGCATGTCAAGTACAGTTTCACTCCACTCCTTTGAGAAGCTTTTCAAGTATCAGGTCATCCCATTCTACCAGGAAGCTAAAGTTCAAGACTTCAGCTTTGCTTCTGGCTCCTGTACCTCAGTGCACTGTCAACATGCACACTACAATTTTTAATGCAAGAGAAAGCAAAACTAGAGCCATCAGATCAATCTTCAGTGCCACCAAGCTTTAGCTCTTGAATTGTTAGAACAACCGTGCAAATGTTTTAACAACATTAAAAGCCCTGTGAACACGATGGGCCAAGACAGACTCAAGCTGTTTCAGATGAGGCTGCTCAGCAGTCCCAACCCCAAAAACGTGACCACACCACGCTGCTGGACCCACATCAACCAGGAACTCTCAGTGACAGCACGTACAGGTCAGGTTTAGCAGGCCTACCTTTTCCGTCTGTATTTGAGCTGGTCTTTGAAGGACTTCTATCAGAATCACTGATCTGTTCAGAAGTTTTTAGCAGCTTGGTGCTTAATGCAGTAGCATTTTCCTCAGATATGAATGAAATTTTAGGTAGCAAAGAAGCAGCTTCTGCAGAGAACTGTACTTTCACACTAAACAAGTAAAACAAAGAGGTTTTATTCAAAATGAAAATAAATAAACATTCATAAAGAGGCTGTCATAGCCTAGATATACCAAATAAAGGAAAATCAACTTCTTTGGTTTTTTTACCACAGAGAACAGACAAGCACAAGATCATGACTTAAAGCAACCTGGCATTGAACTGATCACTGTGGGAAAAGTCACACTATCTTTCCACCAAATACAAGAGCAGCTGAACAAAAATAAGCTTATTTAGTTTTGGTAACCAGAGTCTCATTAGACTGTTTCCACACAAACAGTTACAGCTGTTCTTGCAAAAGAAAGCAATGCAGCCTCAAAGGTATTTCCATAAAATTCAAGATAATTCAAGACAAGCAACAAAATGGTATATCCAGTGCAAGAGCTGCAAAAGTGACCCAAGACGTTCAAGTTTATGCCTTAAGCACATTTAAGGTATGATCCTTCTGCCTATGTCTGCTATCCTCCAAGAGTTCTTGGACCATTTTATACTGCAGATTTTTTTCTTTCCCTTTCACCTCCCCTTAACTCTCACATAACCCATTAAAAAATAACTACATGCACAGCAGCTTTCCAAGCTTTTAAGGAGATTTCACAAGTATTGCACTAGCTTGAACTGAATAAATAACTTTAAAGTGTATACTATTTACTCACACTTCAGTTTTGAAGTCCAGAAGTAAGAGTACAACAGAGACATCTTGATCTGGTTTCTTGTTCAAGATACAATAATCCACTTCTTCATCCTGGTAGTAGAATGAAAACACCTTTGAAGTGCCCTCCTGTTTATAAGAAATGGGACATGTTTCCCCCTACTCCATGTAGAGATAACTATTCTTAGCCGAGCAAGTTGTAAAACTGAATTATCTTTAACAAGTTGCCCGTGCCTAAAGCCTCTCCCTTTTATTTCTTCCAAACATTCCTGGAGTAAGGTTAGCTATGAGATGTCCCCAGCTTAGAAATGCAAATTCACATCTCTTACCAGGTAAGTGGAGAACCCATCGTTCCTGGTTCGATCCAAACTGAACCCCACCTATGAAACAAGTGAGAAGAATCTGTCAAATTAAAACCAGCTCACATTCCTGTACTATTAGAAGCCAAATGACCACAGTCAATGATACTGCTCTCTAAATAAATTAACCTACATTTAAGGCAGAATCCAGGTATTTTTCTCATTATCTAATTAGACAGAAAAAAAAAATTCAGCTATAATAAACTTGCTGTTTTATCTACATCCACTAAGAATAAAATATTAGTGGACAACTAATATCCTGAACTCACCTAAAGTACCTTCTGCCCCTGAGACTTTTACGTCAGTGTTTTTCTAGGTGTTTCTGCTTGAAGAGAACATTTATTGCTTTCAGAAAGGAAGAAGCTGAACTGTGCCAAAGAGTAAGAATACTGGTCTATCCTCTACCCTAGTATTTCAGTGTCTCTATTAAAATATAATGTGCTAGATAACATATAATGCAAGAGTCATCTAAAGATGAGACAGTTACTGTCAGCAGTAACACCGATACAACTGTCACCAAGTAGGCTCTGACACCTCAAACAAGGCATCCAGTGCAAGGGCAATTTCACAGGAAGCTTAATACAGTCATTGGACTCAGAGTAACTTACTGATAAGCTGTCCTTGTCATCAGAGCTCACAGGTGGCTTCAATGAAAGGTTACTGACATTGACTTTCATGAAGCCATTCTTGAAGAAACCAAAGGTATTTAGGTGCACTTTCTGCCTCACGTCATCCTGTAAGAAAGGAAAGTAAGTTTACAATTCACACACACAGTCATCTGCTGCAGCAGTCAAAAAGGAAGCAGGACAACAGAGACTGACACTTAACTTAAGTGCAAGACATCTATCTGATCATACCAAGAGTAAATTTCTTTATAATACCTTTGGATATAACTGATTATCTCACTGGAGTCAACCAACTCTTCCAATAATCTGAAGAGCAAAAACTTTAAACATATCTTTGCTAATTACCTGGCTACACTGCTGAGAAATATACAAGAAAAACAGGTCTGGAAGAGATTAAACGTCAGGCATCACCGATTAAACAAAATACTGGTAGGAAAAAGACAGACTATAGACAAATTAAGACAACTAACAACTGCTGTTTGAATGCTAACTACTGCCATTGCAACACAGTGCACAGGAAATAGTCATTATAGTAGTATTACCCAACTGAGAGCTGGGTTTTGCTCATGGGATAAACAAGTATCACAGTGTACCGTTATCCCACAAGATCTACATTAGGCAGGGTCAGTGTTTGGACAAACACTTAACACACTAGAAAGCTCTGTGTGTAGTATAGATTAGAAAACTTCTAACATAGCCCCATTCCTCTAAATGATTTTTAGCAAGGTCTTGCATCTTGTAAGTAGGATAAATACTGAAACCTAGGCATGTGTTTATGTCCTCTCAGTCTGGCAAAGAAACGTAGAAACTGATCCCTTTCCATGCCTTGTCACCTGATGAAGGTTCAAGTCCAACAAGCCCTTTTTTAAAGAAAGAGATCAGGAAGGACCTCACACAAGAAGCAGCAAACATTACACACAGTTGCCACATCAGGTGATGAAAGGGCACACCCCTGTTGCTTTGCATTCATAAATCAATCAATAGGTAAGCCTTTGGTCCTCCAACCTACTAGACCAATAATTAGAAGAAAAGCAGCAATAGAACCAAAAATATTAAAAAGCAAGTTTAACATGTGGTTTAAAGCTCTTTTACAGATTGTCACTAGCAACAAGAAAATTGTTTCTTCTAGGAAAATATGAACAGATTGCAGAACTCTCTAAGGAGAGAAGACAGCTGCTAAAGGCAAACAAATGTTCTGGACAAGGTACGATAAGACTGAACTAAGAGCTGTAGAAGTGTAGTAAGTTCTCTCTTTTCCTTCACCTCAGTATCTATTTTGACATCTCTGCTTAAAACACTCCTGACACATAAATATCATTCACTGTAACAGCAGGACACTAATCCTGCCACAGCTAACCTGTAAGCTAGCTGCAATGAGATCGCCCTAATAGAATCAAGTTAACCTGGCAAATAACCAGATGGTTTCCTTAATGCTCAGGAGAGGGGAAAAAAGAGTTGATGACACATGGCTCATAGCAGATGCTTCATTTAATAGAGTATTATAGAGTATTATAGCTGTGCTGTCTTCAGGTTCCAGGTCACTTAATGTGCTTGCAGAAAGAGCCCATCTGGCTCCTTTAACACCACTTTCAATATAATTTCAGTCTGAACAGAAGATTAATACAGCTCTTCACATAGTATATCACATGTATTCAAACATATCTGGACAGAGAAGCATTTCTCTAGGTGATTAGAGAGGAATATGAGCTGGGAATACAGTGTCATCCAGCCACAAAGCTTTTTGCACCTCGCAAATACAACTAGAAGCAGCTGCTTCGTTCAGAGTATGTGCAAAAGCTGCCCAGCTCGATTTCAGTTTATTTACACTGCCAGTTTACTAATATTCTCCAACCAACAAAATATAATTAATATACAACACACAGACATTCATCCCTGGTTTTAGTTCAGCTTTGAGTGCTTAGAGTTGACAGATTTAGTTCACAAATCCTGGAGCTTTACATGATCCCACACATAGTCACCAGTTGCCACTGAGCAACACCATGGTCTCCAGGAGCACCTACTGCTCCACATTATCAACAGCCTAAAGATACTGGTTTACTAATGGTTATCTCAGCTCTTAATGGAGGTTTAACAGGTTGGAAAAATCCAGCTTTCATTTATGATCACTCAACTGCTGACTTCAGAACATTCAGTTGTAAGTTTACAACAAAGTTGTGAACACTTAAGCATCTGAGGTGTTAACAGACATGTTAGATTAATTTATGTAGGATGTATTTAAAGGTCAAGCCTGCCCCTTTGCGAAGGGATGAGCAGGAACTCATTGCTAACAGGTTACAGTCAAACCAATAAAGTAACTTCTCAGCTTAGTTCCATAAAAGCTTTCTCCATTTCTTCCACTCCTTTAGGATAAATATCAATCCTACAACATTTGACTGAGATTACAGGAAAATGGTAACCAAGATCCTGCCTATTCTGGTAGCCCAGGACAGGCAGAAAAATATCCTTTAACATTTTATTCAGAATATAATTGGGATCACGCTACCAGTACAGTGAAAGTTTCATCAGAGAGTGCCTACCCTTACATGGAAGGAACTGGATTACTTGTGAGAGTCTTGTATTTGTGTAAGAAACACAGAAAAAGGTATTGAGAAAGGTATTTTTAAACTTGAGCATTCGAAGCCTGTGACCTACCAACATTAAAAGGCCACCAGTATTTACAACCAACTGCTGAAAAAGATCATCTTCCAAATAATAAAATTAAACTGCAATCTTGACAGTAGCAAAACAGGAGAGATCTCGCTTTCCTTTGGAAGTCAGTTATTTGGCAAGATAACTGACTTATCAGACTAACAGCACAGCTGCCACACAGCACTGTCAGTTGGATGATTCCTCTTGAAACCCTACATTGGGCTAGTCCCTAGAGTTACACTTGACTGTGTGCCTGACAAAGAACTTGTTTAGGCCAACTTCCTCATTCTCCAAGACAGTTTGCCATTGTATCACTCAAAACATAAGGCTTCAGTATTAATGCATTTGACTGTTAAGACAACAAAAACCTTATTTTTGGTGAAGAGAAATGTTCCAACACCCTGCTACTTCTGAAAGCTGCTGAAAATTGTTCCATCAGTCTCCTATAACTTCAGTTTTTGCAGTGTTTGGTTTTTAAACATATTTAATGAAGCTGATAACAACTGCTACTAAGAGGGTCTCCTCTGACAAGGTTAATCTAACAGCAAGATTCAAACAAACAGATTTTATTACTTGGGAGAAATAAACCCTTTTGGATGCTTTTATAAAGATGAAAAGTTACATTTTCAGAACAGGAAACTGCTCGGATTGCAGCTTGCTTTTCTGAGGACAAAAAAAAGCTTCACCTTAGCACACTAATTACAAAGACACAAGAACAAGGCTATTCTAACTTAAGCAGTAATGGCTTGTTTGAGGAAACCTAATATCAAACACTGGCACAAAGCTGTGGCCTTTGGCTTGGCACAGCGTCAAAGCACATTTACAAGCAAGGAGCCAATGGCAAGAACACTGGAAGGGAGATTTCATTGTGAAAGGGTGCAGTTGTTGGAGTCTGATGTTTACAGAAATGCCATAAAGCACTGGATGGAGCAGAAAGGGAGAGCCTGTGCTCTAACAATAAAGCTTACATTTACACTTCTGCTTTCCACAGTGCTCTGTAGGTCAGTAATGCAACTCATACAAAGCACCCAGAGAACTAAAACCACACTCCACTTCAATCATGAAAATCAGCTAACAGAGTTCAGTAATTAATACAGACAATTAAGAGACACCCTAATCAGGACTTGAAGCTGTAATGCTTGCTGCTGAGAACATTTGCTTGAGGCCAGTGTGAAAGCTTTCTATGTAAAGTATCATCCCAGGAGAAATTCTTCCAGCACTCAATAGCTGGTCACAAAATCCTCAATAATGTAACCAGCACAAACCTCCTAATCTATAGCTTCAGGGAACAGTTGACTTTTCCTGAAGCACAACAATATTAACGTGGGTGCACATTAGACAACTACTAACCTGGAAAATTCCCTATAAATAAGTTAGGAGCATCCCCCATGCACTCATTGTACCCCAAAGCTGAAGAGGAGCTCATAGAAGTGTTTGGCACTCTCCCTACACTGCCACAAGAACACAGTAATGCTGCTCCTAGTCCCACACACTTTATTAACCTCTTCCAAGATTTCCATTAGTAAAATATTGTGTGATGTTGGCAACAAGAACAAAATTACCAACCTCATTCTGAAGATTTACAGAGCACTTCGCACGCTGTAAATCCTTAAAAAGCACCGCCTCAAACGCACAGATCCTGTCACACCCCAACCGCACAACTTTTCATTTAAAGCACAACAGACAGCAGCACTCGAGCTGCAGACCTTCACCACAACCTGCACCGTTTCCCACCGCAACCCTGAATAAGTAGTTTTTCTTAGGTACAGTCACAGAATGACACAACACTCTTTCAAAGTACAACCATAAGTCTATGAGACCAAAACAAAGAGTTATCAGCATCAGTATTTTCTTCTATTGATCGTCTGATTAGTGCAAAGAAGCTACATCTGGAACGACAACATCCACCCAGCCTTTCAGAGTCGAGAGACCAGTGACCAAGGCAGGAAGACTACTGCAAAACTCAGATTAAAAGCAAAAGCAACCGCAAATCCTCTTCAACTCATGTTCAGCCCTCTCTTACCACACGCAGCTTCCTGCCTCACTTCCAACAGGATGGGAAGTATTCCCACCTTCAACCCGCTACAGTTCTGATGCCCCTTCGCACATTTTCCGTATGACTAAGAAAAAGGAGGCCCCAAAAAGCAGGGATGAGAGCTAAAGGGATGCGGGGAGAAGGGATAGTAACAGGGAAAGCAGAACACAGCGGGGCCCAGCAAGCTGAGGGGCAGGGGGGAGTCCAGAGAGCAGCGAAGAAAGGCAAAGGGAAGGCAGCGGGACGAAGCTGTAGGGGGGTGACGGAGAGCCCAGGCCCGCGGGAGGCGGAAAGAGCCAGGCCCTACCGCTCCCTTCAGGCGAGCCGGCGGGTAGCCCAGCGTAGCCGGGGGCCGAGCCAGCAGGGCCGGATGCGGCGCAGACCTTACTTTGAGGGTGAGATGATGGACGCGGGCACGGACTGAGCCTGCCCAGAGAAGCAGCAACAGCAGCCCCAGCACGGCCACCGCCCGACACAGCGCGGCCCCAGCGCCGCGGGCCGCCATCTTTAGTCCAGCATCAGCATCCTCTTCCCGCACCACTTCCGGGGTCACGGAGCGCGGCACGTGACCGGGGCGGAGCTTCCCCTCACCGCCGGTAACGGACGCTCGTTTCTTCACCGGGGTTCGTGTCCCGCTACCGGCGCTCTGAGGCCCCACAGCGCTTTGCTTTCCTTCCCTTTCCCCTCCTTTCATCTCCTCTATAGGGCCCATCTGGGCTCTGCCGCATGCTCCCTGCCCGGAGGCCGCCTCCCAGGGTGCGAGGCCTGTGGTGGGCTCCCTCCTCGCTGCTCCCACAAGGGTTCACCGGCCGAAAAGAACCCACCTCGAGCAGCCTTTGTGGCGGTGCTCAGCAAGGCTTAGGGTAAGGAGACAGAGCTGCGCTGTCCCCAGGCAAAAGCTGGAGTTCTTCCCCCACCAGCACAGCTCACAGAGGGGTTAGGGTGGTTGATTGCAGCTCAGAAGTGCATCACTGAAGAGGTTTCAGCTGCTTGCTGGGACCTGTGGCAAGAGCAGATGTCCCAAGCATCAGGTAGTCCAAACAACTGAAAACCTTTCTGTTTAAAGCGGGGATTTAAATGTTAATTCCAAACATCGTCAAAAAATAGATAAGAAAACAAAGGGATTTCTGCTTCCTTACAGAAGTAGCTTTGCTATTTATTTGGAACTAATAGCTCAAATCCCACTTAAAAATGAGATGACAAGCAGATTTGGCCTGTCTTCTATGGCTTGTTCAAACAGAGCAACACAAGAAGCAAAGTGAATATGAATAGCAGCAATTTAAAACGTTTTTTGAAGGTAACAGATTGCTAAATCACCCTGACAGACTATGCAATGTCAATACAATCCTACAGTGGGGAGTTCTGTGCTGCCAGCTCTTGGAACTCAAACATTCTGATGTGTATGAGAGTAACAGCTGTGCAAGTTGCTTCACCTACAACCAAATAAACAACTGGATTGGAACAGGGGAGTAAGGTGCAAGTGATGGTGAAAAAGCAGATTAAAATCGGTATTTTGACTAATTAGCAAGATTATGTAGAGTGTCCCGTCTTTTTTTCCCCCTTTTTTATACTCTTAGGTAATAAAACAAGCACGGAAATGCCACCATCAGTCAAAGAAACCTGGACTGGTACCAGAAAATACCTGAAAGCACGAAAAAAATAAAATCAATGTTTTCTAGTAGGACTCAGGGCAGTAACTCGTGCATGCCGCTAGATGTCCTGTCAGCATCAAGCGTTGGAGTGCTCGCAGCTGCATCACCCAGACGGTAAGAAGACTACATAACTAATCATCCGGTAATTTATTCTGAAAAAGTGACGTTAGTCCAGATATTTTATTTAAATTAATATTTTTTATGGTCTAATTATTATAATTCTTGTGCACGGACCGCCTGGGAAACCTGGAGGCTTTGGGCTCCCAACAAACAGCTGCAGCACAGGTTTCCTTTCACACCTTGTTCCACTAAGTATCCCACTTTTACTTGATAGCATGAGGCTTTCCCCTGTAACTATGGGGATTGGTTCAGCTGAAAAGCCTCCAGCAGTCTGAAGATGCTTCTTAAGAGCAATCAGGGATTTTTATGCCACAAAGTCTGAAAAAAATCTGTTTTTTAATGTAACTCTACCAACTATTGGGATATCATAGCAAGTTTGCCACTTACCTAGACTAAATGATTTCAAAACCAGAAATTATAACATGCTTGCTTTCTTTGACTATGCATTTTGTATATTAAAAGAATGTCTGTACTTAAACTTACATCTCTATCAATATGCAAACTGGCTGCTTTCTGTAATGAATATGCTATAACACCAACACTCATCATTACATTTACATTTCATTGTAGCTTCCAGACAAGATTCACCCAGCTCTACATGTGCTGTTCCTAGCACATACAGTTATTCTCAGCTGCAATTAAACGTATTTTTTTCTCTTTACTCCTTTGTTGTACCCAAACATCTAATTAGAACTCTTCACAGATTTATTTTCTTTTTTTCCTCTAAGTGTATTATGGGCAACCATTGAGATTGGAGGGAAGACACTGGCAGTGTCAGAAAAATTCTGGCACTGACATAGGCATAGTCTACAGGTATACCTCAGTACAGGGCGAAGCAGATTAAGCATCAGTTTGTTACTTCATGAGCTATGGTATAAGCATGCCATGGAGTAGAAAGGGCTGGATGTTCCCTGAGGGACACAGAGCTGGGAGATGAGCACAGTAACACAGACAACAGGGTAGGAGTCTCACCGTTCAGGGTCCAGTCTCACCAAGCAAGGTGAGGGGAGCAGGCCCAGGGATAGTAGCTGAGAGCAGCTAAGAGTCCAGGTCATCAGGCAAGCTTAGAGCAACAACAGCCAAGGTTGGCTTAAAAAGTCAATCTGCAGTGATAGCAACCAACATCTGATGTATAAGGTAGCCATAGTTAGGCCTATAGAACTGAAACAAGATCAAACATGAGCTAGGCTCCATATCAAAACAACCTATAACTAAGGCACAGCCTAACCTGGGGCTGAACTGGAGACTAGTACCCCCACAGCATCACTCAGAGACTGAGCTTTCAGACCAAAGCTTAAATGGGTTTCTGGGTCCATGGGCAGATAGTGTGGGTGAAGGCCACAACTGAGGCTAGTCAGGGACATTAAGAGGTCTTAATCAGTCTTTAATTAGCCCTCTCTGGGCCCTGATAAGGCATTTAAAGAGAACCTCTGCCCCCTACTGTGTGCTTGAATGATCTGTGTAGTATTTTAACAGGGGAAAGGAAACAGCTGTGATAGCTATGGCTATAGGGAAAGGTGTGTCTTCCTTTCCTGGGGCTGTTTCTGTCCCAGTGTATGAGAGGTTATAAACAGTATCTGAGTTCCTTGTCTTGGACATGGATGACCTGGGTAGAATTATAAAGTTAAAAAGGAAGCATCTGCGAGGGTGATAACTCCAGGGGGGAAGGTAGGTCCTCTTCCTGTTGTATCTAGAAGCTAGAAATGCTTGTATGTTCTCTGGAAGTTTTGAGTTTTCCTGCTTTGCATGAGTAAACCCAGAGAAAAGGGTTTAGATACAATTGTAGCTTAGGGGTTAAATTTATCTTTTCCAAGTATGTTCTGATTCATTTAGCAGCTATTCTGGCTGTTTTCAGGTGGGGTTGGGGTTTTCTAAACAAAGTCCTGGCCTTCTAAAAAGGGAATTGCTTCTACTTGGGCTTAGGCTGTACCTTTGGGAGTGTTCTGAATCATAACAACAGGAGTGATAAACAGAGTATTTGCAGGAATAAGCCTATATCTGGATAACAGATCTACATGGTCTTGGCCTCAGTGTGGCTGAGAAAACTCCCAGCAGCTTCCCTGTTGCTCAGGTTTGGACTGTGCAGGTTAAGTAAAGAAGTGCCAGATAATGTAATTTTCAAGTGTTGTTTTGAATTATTTGTTTCAGGCTGGGACTTCCCAAGCTTTCCAGTATCTACTTCAGCAGAAAAGGGGTTTTAATGTTCCCACTGCTGTTAATTACATTAGTAATTAGGGACCAACCAAGTACAGGCCGTGGTATTTTGGGCACTGTACAACTGAAAGCAATAATATGTCAGTCCTTGTCTGGGAGAGTTTCAAACTAAATAATAGCCAAAATAGGAAAAAGTCCCATTCTGGAAGTATCTGAAATTAATTTTATTTAGTGTTTGTCTTGCACATCTGTTCCCACGAATTTTATATTCTTTGAATATGTTCTGAATCACTTAGCAGCTAATCTGGCAGTTTCCTTAACTTTTCCTAGGTTTTGGCATGCCTGATAGTAACATGCCATCACAACACAGAACCTGCATTTCTGGCCTTTATCTTTCAGGAACTGGTGAAGCAGTTCTATCTTCTGGTGTGGACAGGTTTCCCTGCCCGCGCTGGTGTAACAGGTTTGCCTTGTTCCCCTCCCAGCCCTTTGTGCAAAGGAAATTCCACAGCGAATTTACCTCAGATGATACTAGTGCTGCTTTCTGTTTGGTCTCTGCGTACTTTTTACTCAAGTAGTTAGGGATTAAACTCTAAAGTCGTGACGTAACTTGTGTTGTCTGGCTTTGCAACGTGTTCTCGGTGGACGTGGCTCTGAGGACAGAGGGCTTTGGTGCCCCATCTCCAAAAGCCTCGCACTGTTCCTTGGAACACTGTGGTTGTGCTTTAGGCAGTGTGGCAGGCTCAGACATTTAAATGTGTTGTTAGCAGCAGGAAGGAGCACTCTGAAATGAGTTGAACAGCGTTGTCTCTTAGTTGTTATGAAGTCTGCTCTTAAAAGTAATAACTTCTACTGATGAACAAAAGCGTTGCCCGTTCCCTGTCTCTCTTCAAAGGCAGCTGTGTGAAGAGCAGCATTCTACTCGGGTTCAAATCGGTTGAGTCAGGTTAAAAACACATGCAGTTCTGTTATTAACATAACACTTGTCTTCATTGTTGTTTATAAATGTTGGAATTACTTAATAAGTTATTCTATTCTTGTCCTGTCTTATGTAGGGTAATAGCTAAGCCTCAGTGAAAGAAGTGCATTAATCTAGAGGGGTTAATGGTCTTTATAGCAGCTCCTCAAATGTTATCTTTTGCCATCAGAAGGATCCCCACCCTCTATAAGCAGTTTTTCCTCAGATGAATAAATATCCTTAACTTTCCTTTCCCTGGTGTATTTCATGAACAGATGCAGCAACATAAAATACCCATCTAAAGCTATTTTGACATCTCTTGTAGCTGAAAAGACAGAAATTTAAGATCAGCTGAAGTAACAGCTCCAATTCTGTTACAGAGAAAGATGAGCATAAACCAAATCTTATTTCTCTGGCAAGGGAATGAGCCATTTTCTGCAAGACCTGCATAATTCCTACAATAACCCGTATTTATGCAAGAGCGAATAATATGGCTATTTTTCTGCTTGCTCACTGTGTTGGTGACAGATGGTGGAGTTAATATTCCTGGATTTGGGTTATTTTGGGGTGTGTATATCTGGGGAGCTGAGTTAAACTCAAGCCCTTGCAATCAGTGTGAAGGGCGGCTCTCCCCCTCCCAAATGGTCATAACAGGAACATTTGCTTTAATAAAGAGCCCCACCTGGCTCAAGGACGAACTGGGAACCGGCACCTGAGGGCGGGACTCTCCACCAGAGCTGCCCTGAGGGCGGGGAGCACCCACCTCCTCCCGCCGGCTCGCTTCGGAGCACAGAGCTGCCTTCCCGCGCGGGGACCGGAGAGGAACCGGGACAAGGCCGAAGCGGGCCCGGTGCCACTACCGACCACCGGGACCGCGCTGACTGACCGGAGACCGCGCCTGCGCCCTGCCGGCCTCGGGCCCCCACCCCGCGCCTCGGGCCGCGCCTGCGCAGTGCGCCAGAGCTGTCAATCGCCTCCCCCCGCCCCGCTCCGCCACCGCCTCACCGCGCGGCGCCGCTCGGGCCATTTTGCGGCGCGATGAGGCGGGAGCGGCGGTGAGCAGCGGCCGAGAGCAGCGCCCGGCCCGCTCCGCTCCGCTCCGTTCCTGCACCGCGCTTCGCTGGGGCCCGGCCCTCAGCCCACGGGGAGCACAGGGAAAGGAAGCCTCAACCAGGGCACAACCAGACCCCGAGAGCCCCCCACCCGCCGGCCCTCGGCGGCGCGGCGGAGCCATGAGCTGGGGCACGGAGCTGTGGGTGAGTGAATGAGGGGGGAGCGGGACCGCTGTTGCGGCGGTTACCGCGGAGCGCCGCGCCCGCCCCGTGTCATAACGGTTCGTGCGGAGGGGCCGGTCCCGGTGCGGGGCTGGGGGCCGGGCGGGGCTGCGGGCTCCGTTGTGAGGGGCACCCCGGGGGAAGGAGGGGTCCGGCCGGGGCCGCTTTCCTCAGGGGGTCTCCTCCTTCCTAAGACTTTGCATGCAGCCTCTATGGGGAAATCCCAGCGGAGCCGGAGGAGTTGTGTTTGTTTTCTTGAGTGAAATGTGTGTTAGAAGAGCTCCACAGCACAAAAAAGCGGTCGCGGCTGGAAAGCGGAGGGAGTCTTTCAACGCAAAGCCTGGGGTGGGTTTTGTATGTAGCTGGAGGAGAGGCTCTGAGGTGGATTTATATCCAAGGGGGTCCAATTTCAGGAGAGGGAGGTGCAGGGAGGAAAAGCCAGATGATAACATTTCCTCCGGCTGTTGTGAAGGGGTTTCTCTCCACGCTCGGAGGACGGAGGTTTCTGTTAGAAGAGTTTTCTGTTGTGTGTGAATAAGTACGTTTTAATGGTGGGGAGGGATTCGGTGTGTGAAGCCCTTAGGTTGGTTCTGAAGTGAACCTGGGAAGTCTTCAATGCGTTTGGTTTACGGTGGAACGTCGCTGTGAAATGCCAAGCTGTTAAAAGTGGATAATGGCATTTGGAATGGTCCCTTGCTAATCTGGGAGAATTAAGGGTAGGCAAATGAAAGAAGTCTTGGAAGCAGAAGAGATATACATATTCAATCACAAAGAGGACGTGATGCAGCCATGTTTGGTAGCATGATGGTGGAGCAAAACCTGTTACTAAAGGGGTTGCGTAGTGGTCAGGAGCCTCTGCAAGCGGTTCTTAATTTAATGGTGGGACGTTAAAAATCTTTGGGCAAAATCTGCACGGAAAGGAGGTGAAGAGGAAAGCGCAATAGGGTTTTGAATAGACAAGTCAAGAATGAGTAGCAAGAGGGTCATCTGGATTGTAAAGCACTGCAGGATTTTGCTCCTCTGCTCATCTATCTGGAGTTCATCACCAGGGCGAGTTAAGATGGCAACGTATCTGAGCTTTTAAATTGCCTCAGTGTAGAAATGGTTATTTTAGATGTGCTAATTGCTGCCCGTTCTGGCTGCATTGCTGGCAGGCAGTTCAAGCATCCCCTTTTGCTGTGACATTGTAGTCATGTTACAGCCAGATCTGGTTCAAACTAGACAGTAAATCAGGGAGCGAATGCTTCCTGAGAGAGGTTATTGCGGTATGTTTGGATACTCCAGGGGAGGAAAGGTGATACATACTGATGAAATACTGTAGTGATGCTATATTGAATCATCAGTATATAAACAGCTCTGCTGCATGGGAATCTTTCCGGGAAAATCTGCAGTTTTCCTTCTTTTTTCAGCATTTAGGGTGCTTTGGAGGGGAGATAAAATAGTTTGGGTGGAAGTGAAGTGTGAGTCAGTATAACAAGTTTGACATAGGAAACTAAACTGAATTCTCCAGATGGACCTGATTATCTTTCATTCTTAAAAGCGAGCAAGTGATACCAAGGTGTTTCTGCACAAAACAGCAGTAGTAGAGTAGTGTTTATAAATAGTTCTTTCTGTTTCTTTAAATATTTACAGGTGTGTGTGCAATCTTACATTTGTCTTTGGTAATAGTACAAACTGGTTTTGTGACACTTTCTTCCCCCTGAACATTTTGTTGGTGAAATTGTGTTCACCAGCATTAAAGTATTATTTTTTATGTCTTCAGTGTAGGACTTTGGTAATTGTTACAGTTTACTGAGGAAAACAGTTGGACCAACAGGTTAAATTACTCTAGATATGAAATTGGCACGAGTTCCTTTCTTTTAATTGGGGCAGAGCTTTGAAAACACATCAGTGTCCAGTGCACCAGGTACTAAGGCCAGAACAGTGATTTTTCTCCTCATATTCTCCAGTTTGCTGGGGAAGGAAAGCACGGAAGTATCCTATATTTAATATGTGCTGTTTCCTCTTGTTGATCATGGGATGCTTTTTAAGCAAACTTACATTTCCATTTACTTTAAGTTTATTAGTTGTTTCAGGTAGTCATGGCATGGGTGTTTAGGAACATGTGGTGTAATTAGCTGCCTATATGATGTGATTGGTACATAATTAGATGGAACCATTTGGTGGGTGAAAGTTATAGCAATAACAAGTGTGTTTCCAACAGTAGCTGAAAAATTTGCTGGAGAGATCAGCATTGTTTGGTCAGGCTTGACTTGCGCCCCGTGTTTCTGATGTGCTGGTCTACCAGCCTGGGTAAGTGTTCATGATTCACCACTTCAAACTTAGCAAAGGAGAAGTAAAATTGAGCTTGCTCTTTAGAGCATGTAGAATGTTAATGTGCATGTGTTTATGTCTAATTTCTGTTCATCCTGGAAAAAAAAAAAGCTGGTTGCAGAAAGCCTCATACTTCAGAAGCAATAAAATCCCTTCAGCAACATGCAAGTTACTCCCAAGACAGACTTTTAGCCTTGTACTGTGATGTTCCGTGGGTTCTGTGCCTCTGGCTTGCAAATCCTATTGCAGAGTTCCTACTGATACTTCACTCGAGTTTCATCTTGAGCTTGGCACTGTGACTGTAAATGGACCCTTAACCACCAGAATTATTAAAGGTATTAATGCAGCATTTATATCCTGTACTAAATACTCAGGACAATGAGATCATCTGGGGCATCCAAGCAATCCAGTGTTAGAGAGCAAAACCTTAAGGTCTTTTGTAACTGTCAATGGGTTTCCTTTGTGTATGCATGCTGTACAGAGTGGCAGTGGCTGAGCAGTGCAGTTTGTCAGGCTCCCCAACCCCTGCGGAAGTCTTGCTGGCCCTTGTGAAACATTCAGGAGCTGGAGGAAGAATCAGTGGGTGAGGGACAAACTACAGTCATGTTGGTTTTCACCCCAGTTCAAGAGTATTGTTAAGGGCCAGCAGGTAGGAGAGAATTGTAGATAGTTATTTTATGTCTGAGTCCTGGAATTGGTATTGTTTTCTAAATACTTGGCTAATGTACGTGGTAAGTGAAGATTGTGTACCACTGTACAGACTTGGCTTGCACCTTCAGTTAACTATGTCTTGGGGACAACAGGCTGTCAAAGCATGTTCAGATCTCTCATTCTTTTCCTCTCTTGTGTAATGGGGAAGGTCACAGAGCTATTCTGAAGGGTGCTTTAGCTAGTAAAATGTTAGTGTGTGCTGTACTTCCCACCAGTGCCCTCGTGTGTGGTACAAAACCCTCAAATCAAGTGGTAGGAATTACGTGGCAAACTGAGCTAAAACTAACCGCAGTCCTTTTCTTTTGAGTGGAAAAAGTCTGTGGCTGCATGGTTGGTATATTGAAGGGAATGATCTTTCTTGATGATGAGTTTTGGTACAGCGTGTAGTTTGGGGGAGCTATGTGTAAATTTGTGGTTAAGTGGTCCAGGAAAAACTGCCTCCTCGGAGCGCTGCCATACAGCAAGTGCAAGTGGTAAAGTGATTAAATGTGGGAAGACACATCTTTCTGTGATAAATGTTTCAGAGGTGCAGATGCTGTGGGTTTGGTGTTGGGGTTCTTTCCACATTTGGTGAGACTTTAAAATAAATGTGGAGGAGGATGATGATTAAATCAAGTTTTCTTTGACCTTTGTGAAGAGCTGGGTGGCTGCTGAAGCTGTCGCTGTCCTTTCAAACTGTAAGAAGGTGAATATTCTGGATTTGCAAAGGGCTTATTTAGATACC